TTTCTCGGAACGGTACTTGTGTCCAAGGTATCACGAGTTATTTCCCTTCCATTACTGTCTGTGAGGAATGAACAACAATGCGAGTGATTAATTTGATTTTAATGCCGCTTTGAACAATATTTTCTGTCATAGTGCTGGGGACAAGACCATGTTGGTGAAGGTCATTGTTTTTGTTTTGTTCGTTATTTAACGCCGCACTCAGCAGTATCCCAGCTATATGACGGCGGTCTGTAAATAATCGAGTCTGGACCAGACAATCCAGTGATTGATATCCTGAGCATTGATCCACGCAGTTGGGATACGACGACATGCATCCAAGTCAGCGAGTCGGATTAGACCTGATCCCGTTCGTCGCCTCTTACGACAAGCATAGTCGCCTTTTACGGCAAGCATGGGTTGCTGAAGACCTATTCTAGCCCGGATCTTCAATGGTCTTATCGCCCCTCTACAGGTACAGCCTACCTGGAGACTGTCCCTTACGGAAACTTCCAGAACGGTCAAGCCTGCCATGTTCTTGTATACAACAAAGACAGATAACTCTAATTCTAGTACAACCCCATTCTGGAAACCTCTACCCGTTGCTATCGACTGCTGTTTAAATCCGGCCACGACAACAGTTGCTATTTATTACTGGTAGTGCAATCATTTCCTGTCACTGACAATTACCACAAATCTATTTACAGTTTCTACCACCACTCACATCACTTGCACATAACAATACGCTCTTGTCTGGAGGAGAGACTACAGCTGGATGCGGACAAGACATATACCACGGCTACACGTGTCATCATTTACCTAATCTCAATCCAGCATCATCCCGAGGCAAGGGAGTTCACTGACTATAAAAGTCCAGTTTCCACCCTTGCCGAATTAGGCTGGAATTATGGAGTTATGCATAGTCCAGTCAAAATCTCGAAACGAATTCGACATTCTGTTCGTAAACTGCCGTGCACATTTTGGTCTATTGCAGGATTGCAAAGCATGTGGTTCGCAAACACAGCGTCAACAGATATTTTCCAAATCTTTTCATGTTTTAAACAAGGTGCTCACGTGATGTTGTGCAATTCGTGAAGTAAGTCCCGTTTTATCACAATATAGATCTTGATTATCAATCAGATCGTCTTGACTGAGCACCGCGATTTTGTTTGAAGTAAATGCAAGCAATATGAGAGGTGGAATCCGATTGGTCAATAGGAGAGACATGGACGGGACAGCGATCGTAAAAGCCACTGGTGGCGCTACGATCGAGCCCAGAAATTCCAGCCTAGTTCGGCAGGGTGGAAACTTGACGTTTACAGTCAGTAAACTCCCTGGCCTCGGGAAGATGGAATCAAGAGGCTGCATAAGGTTATTTCACTGAAATAGCATATGCTATAAATGTGTTATTTCAATATAACCATATAACAAAAAGTGGCCGTTGGATGAAGGTATCAAGGGTCAGGTGTTAGACAAACTTCTACCTGACCAGCAAGTCCACTGTTCAAAACTTGTGTCCTACTCTCTCTGTGTGCGTGCGTGAGTGCGTATGTGTGTGTGCGTGCGCGCACGCGTTTAGAGAGGAGCGGCCAACTGCACTACACAGCGCCCAGTACCATAATAACGTACGCAGGGCGGTCGCACACGAAGTGTCTGTCCTTGGACCAATAACACAATTCCTGGGTCAGTGCAGGAATAATTAAAACATTTGAATTGTAACGAACAAATTATGGCCTACAAGTTATGTCACAGCAAAAGCTCCAGCGCCTTTAAGAGTTGCATCCTACGGGACCTGCAGAGAAAGTGTGTCAACTCCCTTATCAAGCTGACATGACGTGATAGAACTCAATACTGTTCAAAGCGGCGCTAGCCAAACTACCTCATCAACATGCAACTGACAGAAAAGCGACTGCGAGCACACTGTCTGTGGCTTTCTCATGGACCTATGTCATAATTGCACTGTAAAAAAATTAATATCATATAAGGGACACCGAGTAATAGAATGTTGTTTTATGGCACATTCAGTAATAGATTTTGACTAACGCTTATTCTCTTAAAATATATAATTCTGATAAAAACCAGCAAATATAATTGAAATTGAAAAAGGCCCAGTGAGACGGCAGTTTCAGGAGCATACCCCGCGGAAAATCTAGACTTGCTTCATTTAGGGCTACAACAAATTAAGGGCTTGGCGGAAGGGAAAATAATATGGTTCAGGGACTGTGAGATAGAATACACCTATATTTATGTTGCTCTGTGCGAGCATGGGTCTAAGCCGTGAGAGTACGTTAACGGGACACTATGTCCACGGTCAAGGTCTAGTCGTCGTGGGGGGGCACGGGTAGCCAAGTCATCGAGCTAAGACCCTGCAATTCGCTGGACACGCCAGTAACGTTTGATCGTGGGTTCGAATGCTGCTTCGCCCGATTATGTTTCTACGTTCGTCAGCATCCCACCCGTGTTCGTGGGTTTCACCTAGTTGGTGAGATCTGCATCACTTCAGGCTGACATGCCGGGATATAACTGGAATACTATTCAAAGCGGCGTCAAACCCAACTCACTCGTTTATGCTTGAGAAAGAAGTAACTTCCTATGGCTTCCTTTTAATATAAGCTTCGGTGGTTTTGCGGTCGTGAAATCAGCAATTGAGAGGTTGTTATTGTGATTTGAAACTTCTGACAGAATGAAATTTCACTGTTGACGCACTGTCTAACCATGTGATAAATCATCTACCGGACCTTACCAGAGCAAATATACAAGGTCAGTTGGGTGTCGGAAGAGGCGTACTTGAAGCTCTTATCTAACTCGTCGTTGAATGATGTGGATAAATAATTTCCCACGATCAACGCCTTTGTTGATTAAGCTGTACATATTCGTCAGCTGGGAGTGAATGTGTTTACGTGAAGGTCCGCATGAGTTGCAGTGTACATTCAGAGTAAGTGCCGTCCTTGGTTTTGACCTCCGCAGGGAAGTGAAGCCGAGGTCGGCGTTCACGATGATCAGGCGTGTGACGTCAGGCGTTCCAGATTGTTGGACAGTATTTCATTATCACGTACCCCCTACATCCGTCCTGTGACCGACCCCTCATACCGCGAGGTTCTATCTCCATGGTGTAGTCTTGATAATGGGTGAAACACGGATAAAGATAACAATGACATGGATTTTAATTCTGTTTTATGAGATTATTTTCTCAATCATGACAATACTAAATATTGCTTTTGCAATTCAGGTTTAAGTCTACAAAAACTGCCTGCCGTGTTAAAATAGTTAGACGGTCCTGTATCTGTAGTATCCGCGACAAACGGCTGTGTGAGGTTGTAATAAATACACCTGAAGCTGTAGTAGTTGCGACAACAGCTGTGTAGGCTTGTAATGTTAACAGCTGAAGCTGTAGAAGCCGCGAAAAGACATCTGTGTGGGATTGTAATGGTAATAGCTGAAGCTGTATTGGCCGAGACAAACAGCTGTGTTGGGTTGTGATGTCAACAGCTATATCTGTACCATCCGCGACAAACAGCTGTGTTGGGTTGAAATGTTAACAGCTGAAGCAGTAGTGTCCGCGACAAACAGCTGTGTGGGGTTGAAATGTTAACGGATGAAACAGTAGTGTTCGCGAAAAATAGCTGTGTAGGATTGAAATATTAACAGCTGTGTTGGGTTGAAATGTTAACAGATGGATCAGTAGTGTCCGCGGCAAATAGCTGTGACGGGTTGAAATGTTAACGGATGAAACAGTAGTGTTTGCGACAAACAGCTGTGTAGGATTGAAATATTTACAGCTGAAGCAGTAGTGTTCGCGACAAACAGCTGTGTTGGGTTGAAATGTTAACAGCCGAAGCAGTAGCGTCCGCAACAAACAGCTAGGTTGGGTTGAAATGTTAACAGTTGAAGCAGTTGTGTTCGCGCCAAATAGCTGTGTTGGGTTGAAATGTTAACAGCTGAAGCAGTAGTGTCCGCGACAAACAGCTGTGTTGGGTTGAAATGTTAACAGCTGAAGCAGTGGTGTCCGCGACAAACAGCTGTGTTGGATTGAAATGTTAATAGCTGAAGCAGTAGTGTCCGCGACAAACAGCTCTCTTGGATTAAAATGTTAACAGTTGAAGCAGTAGTGTTCGCCACAAACAGCTGTGTTGGATTGAAATGTTAACAGATGAAGCAGTTGTGTCCGCGACAAACAACTGTCTTGGGTTGAAATGTTAACAGTTGAAGCAGTAGTGTCCGCGACAAACAGCTGTGTTAGGTTGAAATGTTAACAGCTTAATCTGTACTATCTGCGACAACGTTGTTGTGTTGTAATGTTTAGAGCCTAATATGTAGTATCCGCGACAAATAACTTTGCAATGTTGTAATAACATCAAAATCTGTCGTGGCCTCTATTTGACTGTGATAAAACCTGAATTGCTAGGGGCCAAGAAACGGGCGACAGATCAGTAGGGGGCACGGGTGGCCGATTCGTCTAAGACGCCGCGATTCGCTTGATTGTGGGTTCGAATCCCGTTTCGTCCCGATTATGTTTCTAGGTTTGACAGCACCATACCCGTGCTCGTGGGTTTCACCGAAGTGGTAAACGTCTGAGACCTGCATAACTTCGGGCTTTCGTCTCACATTAGGCTGACACGCGGCGATATAACTGGAATACTGTTAAAAAGCGGCGTTTAACCCAACTCACTCACTCACTCACAAACCCAACTCACTCACTCACTCACTGATAACAGTAATACACAGTAGTAGCAGTACTAGTAACACTAGTAGTGATGGTAGTAGACGCAGTGTTAGTACTTGTAGTGGAGGTAGTAGCGTGAGGCGTATAACCCCTGACTTCCTCGTTCAGTTTTTCTATACTAAAGTTGAAAGGTCACAGCGTGAGACTTGACTCTGTTTGACGTACATTCAATATATCGGAAGATTGATGGGGGTGAAGACACTACCGTCTCGTACACAGAGACAGGGGGGAAATGTCGGCCGCATTTGCGCGTATCCGGGCACCTTCAGTTATGTATAAGACTGGGGACACGAGTGTCAAGAAGACGCAAAGAGCTTGATGTTAACAATAGTTACGCAGTAGTTATCTCCCTTGGTACACCCTCCAAGGTGTGATAACAGATAGCGAGCCACTCATACAGGTTAATCATTCATTTTGTCTTTGCTGGGATTCACGTAAACTCCACACCTTTTTTGAGTTTATGTTTGCAGAGAAGATAGAAAAGGAGCACAGTGGTAATTAGATTTCCCTGTCGACATTATGACGGATTCAGGCAGAAGAGCCATGTCTCTGTTCACCCTTGTTCTCTGCATCGTGGTGGCCTCGGCGCTCCCGACCGACCACAGCAGCGATGCCGCTAACAGAGACTTCGATTCAACCGTAAGTATCAAATAGAATTATTGCTAGACAACTGTAATAAAAATGTAATCCAGAGCACATGAGGCACAGGAGCTCACCCGCATAAAATATGTTGACTGTGCATTTCCCACGTGCGTGTGTGTTTTGATTCCTATAGGGTACACCCGTCATATAGCTGGAATATTGCTGAGTGTCGCGTTAAACAACAAACGAACAAACAATAGGGTGCGCAGACTTTTCTTTATCATAAAATGGGTAGGTTTCTCGGCAGGATAAAGCCAACGGACAAAAACCATATCAGTTGGGGTCATATGCGGATTGAGATGCAAATATCAAAGATCAAGTAGGGATTACTTTCAGTGTTTATAAACAAACATGGCGTCGCCCTTGTCATTCGGTGATCGAGTCAGAATTAACCATCGGGATTCTGGAGAAACTACTGCTATAAATGCTATCATTTTCAAAGGAATAGTCTAACATACTGAAAATCAGTGTCTAAATGTGACAAAGCTAAGCCATTTTACAAGTTTGGCACTTTTGGCGATATCAATTGCGAAATAATTATGCGAGAGCAATAGCCAAGAGCGATCGGTTTCCATATATCTGTGCTTGTAGACCTCTGCAGCTTGGAATCTTTTCAACAAACTAAAACTGTTGGATTTGGCCGAGATATGTGCGAAATGTTACCTTGATTCGTTTTGTCGTGTGTGTACGTACATCTGACTGCACCTCGTAACGTTATGACAGGACAGGCTGACTGTCAACAACGTCTGACTGTAGCCCTGACATAGACTAGGGTTAGAGTAGCTTTCATTTGATAAAGGGCAGTTACTCTATCGTGCACACCGATGGATTGCCGCGAAAGGCCAGTAAAAATAATGTGTGTAGGCAATTGTTGTTTTGCATATATGTATAAGAAACAGGTTTCAGTTGGAACTGTATTGGCTACTGTCACTGTCCGACAGACACATCACTTACCCTCTGACTTAATATATATTAATGCGCACATTCTAGGAAAACTTGCAATGTTTGTAAGAGATGGAAAGATACTTTCGAGCACAGATTTGAAGAATGACATTATATGATAAACAGGTTATCACGCTTTTGTGTTTGGGGATGGTAAATATCCTATATTAGGAATAAACGTTATGTATTTAGCTCACCAAGACTCGCTGAATACAATGTTTATTCCTAATAAAGGATATTTATCATCCCCAAACACAAAAGCGTGATAACCTGTTTATCATATAATGTCATTCTTCACGTGATAACCTCTATATATTTTTCTGGTGAAGGATAAGACACAATCTTCTCTAACAATCAACGACACACTGTCCAGGTATTACGCTTTTGTCATAAAAGGGTATATTGATCGACACAATGCGACGTGTATGAAGCTACTGTGATCGGGTATAAAGCAACATTGATTGGGTATCACGCTACAGAAACTGGGTATAAAGCTACTGGGATCGGGTATAAAGTGACACTGGTCAGGTATAAAGCTACAAAGACCGAGTATAACACTACAGAAACTGGGTATAAACATACTGGAATCGGGTATAAAGTGACACTGGTCAGGTATAAAGCTACAAAGACCGAGTATAACGTTACAGAAACTGGGTATAAACATACCGGGATCGGGTATAAAGCGACACTGGTCAGGTATAAAGCTACAAAGACCGAGTATAACGTTACAGAACTGCTACATATTTCATATCAAAATAACCAAGTAAGATATGTGCTCTGGCTTCACTTTAATTCTGAATAACTACCTAAACGAAAACTTAATGAACAATAAGAAGTAATTACCGGAATCGGTTTGCCAAAATGTTTAGAAATCGCACAATGATATTACACTATCTTACTTGGTTATTTTGATAAAATTGCATGTGAATCCGTGCCATTGGATTGGTTAACCAAGCAATATTTTTGGTGTTTGTGTTACCATAAACGTATAAAAAGACATGGGCAACGCCCACTAACGAACTACACCTTACTGATTGGTCGAGGGAGATTGCCTTGTTGGGCTAAACGATGTCACTGATTACACTTTAGACTATAAACTTGAGAACTGTAACCGACAAACATATGAAAGTCAATTCTTAAGTACTCACCATTACGTAATCACTAATGTACATCTTGTTGCATTCTCCAGACATTCATGGAGAAGTTTGGTTACCTGGACAACCTTGCCGGACGAGGTCAACATGACCCACAGACGACTTCAATGGGAATCAGGTAAGTTGTTTGCGGGTCCCATTCCGCCGGGAACGGGGTGATCGTTGTTAGAAAGATAATAACTGAATGCTACCTTTGTTTCTCTCTTCGAATCACTTTATGTCAGTCGTCAACGAAGATACACAGAAAAAAAAGATATCCAAACCTTTACATAATACAAACTATACCAGGTTTATGAGTCATCAGGCTACAGATGGACTGTTTATGCTTGTTAGGGAGTTCCAGAGGTTCAACGGTCTGCAAGAGACTGGGCGCCTGGATCCGGCCACTGTTCAAAAGATGCAATCCCCGAGATGCGGTCTACCCGATCTGGTCAGACCGTCAGAGAGAGCAGCGCAGCTCAGGAGTGACCCCGAAACACCACTGGCCTTCTATGCCCCAGGTTGAAATGATGACCTTAGTTATGATGAAAATATTTAACAATAGTAATAATGTGAAAAATAATAAATATAAAAAATGTCAAGTTTCCCTCCCCAATTGTACAATTAAATGGAATCAGAATTCACAAAAAGCTGAATGGAACACGAACTTGAAGACCTTCGTGTTTATTTCACCTGGCAATGTTTAAAACTGTGTTGCAGGCTATAAATGGAGAAAGAACGACATCGATTACAAGATCGTTGGATATACCCGTCAACTGGGAGGTTCAGATCAGAGGTAGGTGTTGTAAAGTAACCTGTAACCGTCAACTTGGAGGTTCAGATCAGAGGTAGGTGTTGTAAAGTAACGTGTAACCGTCAACTGGGAGGTTCAGATCAGAGGTAGGTGTTGTAAAGTAACGTGTAACCGTCAACTTGGAGGTTCAGATCAGAGGTAGGTGTTGTAAAGTAACGTGTAACCGTCAACTGGGTGGTTCAGATCAGAGGTAGGTGTTGTAAAGTTACGTGTAACCGTCAACTGGGAGGTTCAGATCAGAGGTAGGTGTTGTAAAGTAACGTGTAACCGTCAACTGGGAGGTTCAGAACAGAGGTAGGTGTTGTAAAGTAACATGTAACCGTCAACTGGGAGGTTCAGATCAGAGGTAGGTGTTGTAAAGTAACGTGTAACCGTCAGTTGGGAGGTTCAGATCAGAGGTAGGTGTTGTAAAGTAAGGTGTAACCGTCAACTGGGAGGTTCAGATCAGAGGTAGGTGTTGTAAAGTAACATGTAACCGTCAGTTGGGAAGTTCAGATCAGAGGTAGGTGTTGTAAAGTAACGCGTAACCGTCAGTTGGGAAGTTCAGATCAGATGCAGATGGGAAACAGTAGAATACAGCTGTTAGTTGGGAAGTTCAGATCAAATGCAGATGTGAAACAGTAAAATAAAGCTGTTAGATCAGATGCAAGCGTGGTGCTGTAACATATACCAGTCATGAGCGAGGGTGTACATTTTCAATCAAAACCGTGAGGTGTTTTCCACTCTATAAAGTCAAGTCGAATCCATTTATTGTTTTTCTTTAAAAAATTATATATTAATAACAATATTCACGTAATATTTATTGAAGCTGTCACGTTTTGTAATTGCTTCAAATATTCAGATGTTTATATGATGGACAATGGCGCTCTTTAGAAAAATGTAAAATAAAAACTATATCATGAAAGCTGAACTGAAGAAGCTCTAATCAGTTTGATAATGTTGGACAGGGTTGAGGTCACTGCACTTCGAACTTCCTGATTAATAGTATTTGGGGCGTTTGGGTAGCATAGTAATTAACGCGAAATATTGCCTGGGCTCGATTCTCCACATTGGTGCAAGTTTTTAGCCCATTTATGGTGTCCCCAACAAATGCTAAAAGCGGCATAAACCCATACTTACTCACTCCCTGATGTGTGAAACCCATTTCTGTTGTTTCCCTCCGTGATATTGCTGGAATATTGCCCAAAGCGGCGTAAAACCATACTCACTCACTCCCCAATGTGTGAAATCCATTTCTGTTGTTTCCCTCCGTGATATTGCTGGAATATTGCTAAAAGCGGCGTAAAACCATACTCACTCACTCCCCAATGTGTGAAATCCATTTCTGTTGTTTCCCTCCGTGATATTGCTGGAATATTGCCCAAAGTGGCGTAAAACCATACTCACTCACTCCCCAATGTGTGAAATCCATTTCTGTTGTTTCCCTCCGTGATATTGCTGGAATATTGCCCAAAGTGGCGTAAAACCATACTCACTCACTCCCCAATGTGTGAAACACATTTCTGTTGTTTCCCTCCGTGATATTGCTGGAATATTGCTAAAGGCGGCATAAACCCATATTCACCCACTCCCCAATGTGTGAAGTCCATTTCTTTTGTTTCCTTATGCGATATTGCTGCAATTCTGCTAAAGCAACTCACCCATGTCTGATTGGTCAATCATGCTTGATTGAAAGGTTGAGACTTTCAAAAACGTGCTCAGTTGCCACGCGGACGTCTCCTAAGTTAAGAACGCGTTGTTATACAAACGCCAAACAGGGTTTTATTATCGTACTGGGGTACTTTGACGGTTTTCTAACATAATCTGATTCAACCTCATTCTTAGTATGCTACACAGAACTGAAAGAAAAATACCCAATACTGCCAATGGAAGTCTATATTAGTTTGCAATCTAGATTATTGCATCTTCAAAATAAATCAGAATATGTCTCTGGGATCCTTTTAATTATTTTGTTTTCTTTTTCTGTTCTTCCGTGGAATATTTTCCTTTCAGAGACTAGATGTTAGTCTACTAATTCTGATAAATACCAATACGACCAGGGAGCTTTGAACGGGCGAAATACGGGGATGACACATTTAATGGGCGAATGGATACTTTTTTACAATGTACTGTTTTCCTTACGACCAGACGAGCACTGAGACAGGCGTTCTCCAAGTGGTCTGGTGTGACGCCCCTCACGTTCAGAGAGGTGACGAGCGGCACGGCCGACATCGAGATCAGCTTCGTCAGGGGACAGCACGGGGATGGTCCTGGCAATACATTCGATGGGAGAGGTTAGTGTCCCTGCTCCAAACATATCACTTGACGACGAAAATATCGTTTTTACAAAATGTACAAGGTTGTAAATAAAGACCTGCGTTTATGTAAATGTATGTTTTTGTTTGCAAAATCTCATCATGACACTCATTTACGATTATTGATGTCATATTGAAAACAATTGTTTTGATTGTAAAGACGTGATTTACAAGCATTTAAAAGTAACTACAGATAAACTTTTCTTGCAGTATATTGTACACCACAGATATTTAACAGGAATCGTTGATATTTACCGTCAATGTTCAAATCAAGCATTTGATGATCTATTGATATTTCTACCACCCTTCAGGGGCGGTCGGGTAGCCTTGTGGTTAAAGCGTTCGCCGAAGACCCGGGTTCGATTCCCGACATGGGTACAATGTGTGAAGCCCATTTTCTGGTGTCACCCGCCGTGATATTGCTGAAGAAGTTGCTAAAAGCAGTGTAAAACCATACTCACTCACTCTACCACCCTTCAAGCAGATTAAGCATACGGAGAGTGGAGCACTATTAAAGATTAACTGAAGTTGTTATTATTATTATTATTATAATTATTATTTTTTTATTATTACAGCTACGATTCGATATATGCATTAGGTTCAAATAATAATGGTAGCTTTCAGGTTCCTGACTGATGTCCGTGATTTAACGTGCGCTTCACACTGGACCTGATCTCACACTCGATAAAATTAAATTCAAACCATGGCTGTGTTCTCATCTTCCCAGGTGGCACGCTTGCACATGCGTTCTTCCCCGGGACTCAACCAATCAGCGGCGACACCCACTTCGATGAGGACGAGCAGTGGACGATGCGAGGAGAAACGGGCTCGAACCTGGAAATAGTTGCCGCCCACGAGTTCGGCCACGCCCTTGGGCTGGGTCACTCCAACGTGCCCACGGCACTGATGGCCCCTTACTATCAGGGGTACGACCCTAACTACCAGCTCCACGTGGACGACAAGCGAGGGATACAGACACTGTATGGTGGGTACCCCTGCCCACACATTTCCAAAATAAAAAAACAAAACGTTTCAGACCGCCTTGAACATTGTGTCAGCTTGATGAGAGGGGAGGGAGTGGAGGGGGGTGGGGATGGTGGTGGTGGGGGGGTGGGGGGGGGGGGGGTGGGGGGGGGGGGGGTGATATAAGTATTATGCGTTTATAACATCGTTGAAATCACGAACGCAGATGTTGCTAAGAAACATGGAGACATAACCAGAAGATCTGGGATTCGAACTCACGATTTGACATGCCAATTGCGGCGCCTTAGACGACTGGGCCACCTGTGCCCTAGTATAAAGTGAACTCCAAAGGATTTAACAAATCAGTTTTCTCTCTCTGAATTCGGTAACATATAATACAATCTTGGGAGTTAACGTTGGGCTCGTGATTATTCGTCATATCCTGTTTCGTTCTTAAGGGTAGAGGTAGTAGCCCTGTCGTCCAAGGCGTCGAAAATCTCAATGCAGAGTTGCGTCCCTTAGGCGTGTCAAGATCCAATTATCGTGCGTTTGAATCACAAATTCTACCTTGTAATGATTATGGGTTTATTTGTGCTCACAGGTTTCTTTTTCCCACATAGAGCTGACACGTAGTTCACGAGTCACGCTGGCGATCAACTGATACTTAGCTATTATCGTGTACTTAGTGATTATCCTGCACTTGGCTTTTATCATGCACTTGGTGATTATCCTATACTTGTCTATTATCGTGTACTTAGTGATTATCCTGCACTTGGCTTTTATCATGCACTTGGTGATTATCCTGTACTTGTCTATTATCGTGTACTTAGTGATTATCCTGCACTTGGCTTTTATCATGCACTTGGTGATTATCCTGTACTTGTCTATTATCGTGCACTTAGCAAATATCCCGCACTTAGCGATTATCCTGTACTAAGCTATTATCGTGTACTTAGTGATTATCGTGTACTTAGCAATTTTCTTCTACTGAAGTATAATTGTGTTATTCCGTACTTAACTCTTATCGTGTACTGAGCTATTACCGTGCACTCAGCAATTATCCTGTTCTTGGATATTGTCTACTTAGTGATTATCCTGTATTTGACTGCTATCGTGCACTTAGCGATAATCCTGTACTTAGATATTATTGTCTTCTCAGTGATTATCGTGCACTTGGCGAAAATCTTCTTCTGAACTATTATCGTGTACTTATCGATTATCGAGTGCCTATCTATTATTATCTACTTTGTATTTTATCGTGTACTTAGCGATTATCGTCATCCCACTGCAAGACATTGCTGGTTGGTGTTTTTCACATTTCACTCACAAACCCAGGTTCAGGTGGAGGACGTTCAGGCGGTAGAAGAACCCGGCCGACCCGACCGCCAGTGACTGCCAGACCACGACCACGACCACGTGCAACCCCAGCACCCAGCGGCAGACACTGTGACGTCAAGTTTGATGACATCATCGTTGGTGAGTCACCGTCTACTGCCAAACTTTCGGGGGGTGGGGGTGGGGGAATTCTGGGCCCACTTGCACAAAGCGACCTCAGTGTGACGACAGTCGCCAATTTTAATGTACAGAAGTTGCGATCCTCTTTGTGCTTACATACCTTTGTGCAATTGGGCAATTAACAGCAATGTTGTACAAGCGTCGGGTACGTCATGTTGAAATACCTCAAAACATTTGCAACATGAATTCATTAATTTTCAGAATCGTATGCATTGTTTATATGTGAATAGGGTAACGTTCAGTTGTTTTGTTCATTTAAAGTGCCAGGCAAAAGAAAGTATACACCCATGCTTCATAATGGCGAAAAATAAAACAAACAAGAAATGGTTATTTGATGGTGATGAATTTGATACATGTATCATAGTTCTATTATGGACATTAAGTTTGCAGTGTTTCGGCGACTGTTCAGTCTCGTAACCTTTCGATAACGTTTTGGGCTTTTTGGTAAAATCCACTTTTCAAGTGCATATGTTTTTGTCCTTAAGTTATATAACAAAATGTGAGTAGTTAGATATATAAAGTGGTGTTTAAAAGTCTTGAATCAAACCTCCTTGGACTGTCAATCTGCTCGATCTCAATCACCCTTAAGCTGGGCCACATACTCCTTTGTAGTGTGTGAGTGAGTATGGTTTTATGTCGCTTTTAGCAATCGTCCAGCAATATCACGTCTTGGGACACCAGAAATGGGCTTCACGAATTGTACCCATGTGGGGAATTGAACCCGGGTCTTTGGCGTAACGAGCAAACGCTTTAACCACACCGCCGTTATTTGGAACTGATTTTTGTTTCACCTAATGTCGATACACAAGTTCGCAGGGACTTCAGTGACAATGCGGACTCATTCGACATACTTGTTGTCCAATAACTATGGTCAATAAGTGCTCCGAAATACTATTGTTTTTACCATCCCAATGCTGAGCATGTATACAAAAGGCAAAGAGTACCCCACTGCCCCTCACTTCTTAGTAAGCTAGGGGGCACGGGTGGCCCAGTCGTCTAAGGCGCCGCGATTCGCTGTGCAGAGTTCGCCCCGATTATGTTTCTAGGTTTGTCAGCACCATACCCGTGCTCGTGGGTTTCGCCGAAGTGTTAAACGTCCTGCATCACTTCGGGCTTTCCTCCCACATTAAGCTGACACGCCGCGATATAACTGTAATACTGTTAAAAGAGGCGTAAAACCCAACAAACTCACTCACTCTTTGAGCTTAAGCTGCTTGTTTTAAATTGAATAGGGCATAATCGAATGTGAAGTTGAACTTGCGATTGAATGTAATATGAATGATAATGGTCTTAGTTGATTCGAACTACATGGATCATGGGCCAACTTAAGTAGAACGTGCTTGGATCATGGGCTTATTTTAGTAGAACCTACTGAAATCATGGGCTTGCTTCATTTAGAACTTACTGGGATCATGGGTCTTACTTGATTAGAAGTTACTTGGATCGTGGGCTTACTTCATTAAGAACATACTGGGGTCATGGGTCTTACTTGATTAGAAGTTACTTGGATCGTGGGCTTACTTCATTTAGAACATACTGGGATCATGGGTCTTACTTGATTAGAACTTATTTGGGTCGTGGGCTTACTTCATTTAGAACATACTGGGGTCATGGGTCTTACTTGATTAGAACTTACTTGGATCGTGGGCTTACTTCATTTAGAACTTACTGGGATCATGGGTCTTACTTGATTAGAACTTATTTGGGTCGTGGGCTTACTTCATTTAGAACATACTGGGGTCATGGGTCTTACTTGATTAGAAGTTACTTGGATCGTTGGCTTGCTTCATTTAGAACATACTGGGATCATGGGTCTTACTTGATTAGAAGTTACTTGGATCGTGGGCTGACTTCATTTAGAACATACTGGGGTCATGGGTCTTACTTGATAAGAAGTTACTCGGATCGTGTGCTTACTTCATTTAGAACTTACTGGGATCATGGGTCTTACTTGATTAGAATTTACTTGCATAACGGGCTTTCTTCATTTAGAACATACTGGGGTCATGGGTCTTACTTGATTAGAACTTACTTGGATCGTGGGCTTACTTCATTTAGAACATACTGGGGTCATGGGTCTTACTTGATTAGAAGTTACTTGCATAATGGGCTTTCTTCATTTAGGACATACTGGGATCATGGGTCTTACTTGATTAGAAGTTACTTGCATAATGGGCTTTCTTCATTTAGAACATACTGGGATCATGGGTCTTACTTGATTAGAAGTTACTTGCATAACGGGCTTTCTTCATTTAGAACATACTCGGGTCATGGGTCTTACTTGATTAGAATTTACTTGCATAATGGGCTTTCTTCATTTAGAACCTTATAAATATTCGGATCATGGGATTACTTGCTTCAAACTTTCTTGGATCATGAAACACAAAGACACGATCTTCGCAGGGTTGTCGTTTAACTGAATGGTGTTTATATTAACGATGTTTACAGAGCATGGTATGGGCATGTCTAACTCAGAAACTCTCCATGGTGGATATTCATCATAAAATGACTTGGCCCTAACGTGCTAAGACTGTAAATTGACCGGAGACAAGACCTCCTTTATGTGACTAAACCTCTTTCCCCAGCTCACGATGGGAAAACCTATGCCTTCCGTGGCAGCAAGATCTACAGACTGGTCAATCGTGGGGTGAGCAGAGGGTTCCCCAGGCCCCGCAACAGAGTGTTCCGGGGAGCTCCGTCCTCCCCCGGGGCCGTGGTGTACGACAGGAGGCTCAGGAAGACGTTCTTCTTTAAAGGTACAGAAGCTATCTTCAACTCGATCGATGGGCACGGGTTGCGTCCTTTTGTTGCCAGGGTACACATCCCTTTGGGTTCGAATCCCAGATAGGCAAGATTATGATCCTTCGTCCGTCTATCGACAGTAAAATGTATACACTTGGAGACAGGAGAGGCCAAGTTGTGTGAAGGGCGAGGGGAGTGAAATAGACCTTTACGTCTTCTTCCAGTTAAATGCACTTCTTCTGCACTTATACTGACTCCGAGCCGATCAGTTTTTGTTTTATTCCCTTAATGCCAAGTACCAGGTAGCATAAGGCGTACCATCTTTTAACGTCTTTTAGAATGACGCGACCTGGCATCGAACCAACAATCTTACGGTGTCGAGAAGACGCTACACCCACTAGACCACTGACATAGCATCCTAACTGATGGAGTAAATCCTAACATCGACATTGTATCTACTTTTTACTCTTCAGGAGGCAGATACTGGAGGTTCACTGCCTATCGCAAAGATCAGGGATTCCCAAAGAGATTACCGTCCGCATTCAGAAACCCTAAAGCTGCCCTCCAGTGGAGAGATGGTAGGATCTACCTATTTAAGGTAAGGCAGTACTCATCCGTACTTACTAACACCTGAATTTGGTTCGGATATTTTGTTCAGCCTTATATAAGCAGCAACCACATTAACATGATAATGATAAGCCATACATATGTCAATGCGAGTAAAAGTTTGAAAGCGATATTATACTTACATCATATCCTTGATTATGCAAGGAATTATTCTTAATTTTATTGTGACAAATCACTAACGCTCCACGTAATTGCAGTTAAACACAATCCTAAATATGTTAAGACCTAAACATGTAAAAATATGTGACAAGGAGTGAGTGAGTGAGTGAGTATGGTTTTACGCCGCTTTTAGCAATATTCCAGCAATATCACGGCTGGGGACACCAGAAATGGGCTTCACACATTGTACCCAAGTCGGGAATCGAACCCGGGTCTTCGGCGTGACGAGCGAACGCTTTAACCACTAGGCTACCCGACCGCCCCTTGTGACAAGGAACATGTTTAAGTTTGTGTTTAGGATTTAAACACATATTTTACAGTGTATTCATCTTAATATAATAAGAGATTAAATACGCTGGACAATCAATGGCGATTAAAGCGTTCGATCGTCACGCCAATATCCCGGGTTCGATTCCCCACAAGTACGATGTGTAATTACGCAGTCAGTGAACTTTCGTTTGTTGTTTAACGCCGCACTCCAGCTATATGACGGCGATCTGCAAATAATCGAGTCTGGACCTGACAATTCAGTGATCGCCATCATGAGCATCGATACAAGCAATTGGGATATTATGACATGCATCAACGAAGTCAGCCAGCCTGACCACCCGATCCCGTTAGTCGCCTCTTACGGCAAGCATGGGTTGCTGAAGACCTATTCTACCCAGGATCTTGTCTGCGAACTTATCATTGTAGTGGCTGTTGGGTGGCATTGTTGTTACAGTGTTAGTTCGTCACGCCTAAGTCCAGGGTTCGATTTCCCAAGGAACGTCCGTATGCCGCGTGATTACATGTCGGTCGAGGGAGACATACTGTAGGGGGAAGCCCTTAATGTCAAGAAATAACGTCAAATAGAGACGGTATCATCATGCGCTTCGGGCTATAAATTTTACAGGCTTTGAGGTGAGGTGAGGTGAAATTGGGTCAAAGATTATTGCACTTATATAGCGACGTGCATGCACGTGTGTGTGTTGCTGCTTGTACTAGTCCGGACTAATGTCGATTTATAGTGCTAGCTCACTGATGCCATGCCGCAGTTTAACATGAATACCCCACTCAGACACGGTGTACTGACTCCGAGCCGACCAGTCCTTGTTTTTGACCCTTTATGCCGAGCGCCAGACAGGGTAACACCAAGTGCCATCTTTTAACGTCTTTTGATATGACGCGGCCGGGGATCGAACCCCGGAGCTTCCGCTCTCCGGGCGGACACTCTACCACTAAACCATGGAGGCGGTCATACAGGCTTTGAAGCCAGACAGATCATTATATGTCGGGTCACCGAAATAAAGCGTCAATTCGTAGTTACTTACCAAAAAGAAATCATACAGCTCCACAGTCGAGTTGGCCAATATGCATCGGGAATTCAAACCGAGCCACCTCAAGCGGTAATCCCCGTCATCAGCAGCTCATCTGGACTTAGTGTGACTCAAACACACACCTAAAATTCATAGAACGTTTATGTTAATCGATTTTTATAATTAGATCTGTGTTCCTTTCAAATTCTAGCTTTACTGGGTGTAACTTCTATTTGAAATGAATGCCATTGCCGTAGGCGCCATTTTATTATTTTTGCAAAACCAAGGGACGTAACTGCCATGGAATGGTTGGAATGAATGATAAAATGCAACTCTCCACGTTGATATAATTCGCTTTACATAATTTAAGTTTGGTGTTAAAAAAGGATGTTTTTGTTATGATTTATATATCTGTCTATATAAGGGCAAATTTGCTCACGTGAGGCACTGTCTTCATCAGCTGATGGGCGTCAACAAATACAATTTTAATCCTTTAATAAACGCCAACAAAATTGAAGTAAATTCTCAACTGACTGACTGTTGCAGAGCTCCACGTACACGGCGTGGACGGAGACCCTGACAAGAGCGTCCTCTGGCTACCCCCGGTCTACCACACAGTTCTGGAGGGGACTCCGGCCGGACATCGAAGCAGCCTTCCAGTACACTGACGGAGAGACATACTTCTTCAAGGGCAACGTGTAAGTTTGGTCATAAAACACTCTTGCAACTCATGTGTGAGGATTTCTTGGTATATCCATGGCAATCCAGGAAGCGCGATCAACAGATCCCTGTGATTATCGTAAGAACCGAATAGTATGTGGATCGAGTTTCAACTAGGTGTTTTTTTGTTGTTTAACGCCGCACTCAGCAAATATTCCAGCCATATTACGGCGGCCTGTAAAAAATCGAGTCTGAACCAGACAATCCAGTGATTGACATCATGAGCATCGATCCACGCAACTGGGATGCATGACATGCATCAGCCCAGTCAACGAGCCTGAACAGCCGATCCCTTTAGTCGCCTCTTAACTTGGTGTGAACAGCCGTAACCAACCGGACACAATTAAGCTATCTCTTAAGACAACTGGTAGATATGTTGACCTGTTTGCCCCCGAATCCCCAAGACAAGTGGGAGTTACTGTGGATATTCTTCTTTGTCATCACCATTGGTAATGGTATGGGAGGCATTGGGGAGATCTGTTATTCCTGCCGATCTTGGAGAACGGGAGTCAAGAACGGGATACGTATCTGCCCTTTTGCTGGGGGCCTATTCTGGCCTGGAATCTTCACGGGGTACAAGCATTGGGGTACTGGGGACCTATTTTGCTTTACAGTCTAAAAGAGGGAGTCATATGGTACTGGGATCTATGCTGTCTCGAAAACCCATGGGTGGCAAGCATAGGGTAATGGGATCTGTGCTGCCCCGAAAACCAACGGGGTGACAAACGTGGGGTATTGGAATCAAGGCTGCCATGGAAACCCACGGGATGACAAACATGGGATACTGAGATCTATGCTGCCCCGGAAAACCACACGGTGACAAACATAAGGAACATGGGTAGCCGAGTCATGAACTTGAATAAGGCACCCTCACTGTTTCTATACTGGATGCGTAATCGAAGACTCCCATTCTCTGTTTTAGATACTGGAAGTTCGACAGCTACTACGGGCGTGTGGAGGCGGGTTACCCCAAGGCAACATCCCAGGCTTGGCTGGGCTGCACCCCGAGGATACCCAAGTAGCTGGGTCCTTCTTGTCGCCATACTGACACGTAGATGTAGCTAGCCTTGTGATCTACAGTTTATCCTCCATCCTGGAAGTTGCTCTTCACCAAACATTTTGCAAAGCATAGGCCACTATTCAAGTTGGGAACATACTGACCGACACCATGAATGTTTCATACATTGCAAACTACTGTCTGGACCGTGACCTTCTTTTACCTATATGTTTACCAGTAGATGCTTGAAACAATAGATCGTCTCAAAGCGAACACTTCCGAAAACTACAGGAGATAACCGAATAAAATATGACTTCACTTTTCTTCACTTAACACTTGTAATAATAATTGGGACTGGAAAGAGCACCGTGAGGTTATTCCCTGATATATGAAAGGTCGGTTCGGTTCAGAAATAGCAAAAAGAGAGAGGAAACCGATTTAGAATCAAAAGAACCTTTATGTTGATGTGAGACCATAGAAAATGCAGCTATAGTATGCTACTATCAAATGCATGACATATTTCTCACGTAGCTGTACCACAACCCCCGCGAATTCGTGTGATCGCACGATCAACATTTTTCGGGTCCAAAATAAAGTTTCTTACGCCCAATACAAACAAGACATACATCTGCGTGTTTCATCCCAAAACCTGCTAAAACTACCATCAACCAATGCTAACCATTGATCTACACCAGTCAGACTGTCCCAATCTCATGAAAATCAGATGTGCTCGCTACCGCCACACAAAGATCTGAGGACATTCCATTCCAGGTCACGTCAGAACTACCTTTCGCGAACTTTTGACCGACCACTGAAATGACTGATCGGAAAGTAGCTTTTTCGAGCTTTTCGGTACCAGTTTCAAAATTGCCACTTCCATTCAAGACTAGGTTCTTTAAAAAAAATATTTTGACAAAAGACTCGATTCAAAATTTGGAATTAAAAGAAACTTCTGGAATGTCTAATAGATGGCGGAGATTGTATGGCAGTACTTCCCACGGAGCTTCTTTCGTTTTAAATTTTTCTTCCGTTGAAGAGATGATGCCTAGCATTTGAAATCAGTCGTACATCTCGGGCTGAAACTGTCGTTGGGAATGCCGCGCATTAACATTGAGGCTGCATGATTAGAAAACACATTAACATAAGAAAAGTACCGGCGGTGGGGATGCCTAGCGTTCGCTGGTCACACCGAAGGCCCGTGTTCGATTCTTCACATGGGTGCAATGCGTGAAGCCAATTTCCGGATCATTTTGCTAAGTCTTTGAGAATATTTTCAAAACAACCACATCATACAACAGGTTCGTTTTAGATTTCATAGTTTTGGGAGATACTGACGGCAATTTCGAGACATGCCTTAGTTTTTCTTTGTGTATGAATAATTTCAAAGACAATCGGATGAATACACGTGTCTGTATATACTCAACGTGTCACAAGCTGTGTATGCCCTGTGAGTGACTATCGAGACAGATGATGGTGTATGACTGATTACTACATAATGATCTATACATGTAATAAAATAAGTTTAAATCAATCAGTTTTAACCGAGTGTGTCTTTTGTAACACTCATTTTGTGAAGCTCATGTTGATTGATCAGATACTCAAGAGATTCAGGGCCAGTATTGGGCTCCTTCCAATGTGAAGATTCAGGTCCAGTTTACGACTCCTCCCACTGTGGACAGTCGGGGCCAGTATTAAGCTCCACCCACTGTAGAGATGCAGGGCCAGTATTCAGCTCCACCCACTGTAGAGATGCAGGGTCAGTATTAAGCTCCTCCCACTGTGGGGATTCCCAGCCAGTATCAAGCTCCTCCCACTGTGAAGATTCAAGGCCAGTATTGGGCACTCCCTCTGTGGACAGTCAGGTCCAGTGTTGGGCTGCTCCTACTGTGGGGATTCCAAGCAGTCTTACGCTCATCCCACTGTGGAGATTAAGGGCCAGTATAAGGCTCCTCCCACTGTGGAGATGCAGGGCCAGTATTTGGCTCCTCCCACTGTGGACAGTTAGATCCAGTGTTGGGCTGCTCCCATTGTGGGGATTCCTAACCAGTCTAAAGCTCCTCCCACTGTGGAGATGCAGGGCCAGTATAAGGCTGTTCCCATTGTGGAGATGCAGGGCCAGTATAAGGCTGCTCCCACTGCGGAGATGCAGGGCCAGTATAAGGCTGCTCCCACTGCGGAGATGCAGGGCCAGTATAAGGCTCCAACCACTGCGGAGATGCAGGGCCAGTATAAGGCTGCTCCCACTGCGGAGATGCAGGGCCAGTATAAGGCTCCAACCACTGTGGAGATTCAGGGCCAGTATAAGGCTGCTCCCACTGTGGAGATGCAGGGCCAGTATAAGGCTCCACCCACTGTGGAGATTCAGGGCCAGTATAAGGCTCCTCCCACTGTGGAGATGCAGGGCCAGTATAAGGCTCCACCCACTGTGGAGATTCAGGGTCAGTATTTGACTGCTCCCACTGTGGAGATTCAGGGCCAGTATTTGACTGCTCCCACTGTGGAGATGCAGGGCCAGTATTAAGCTCCTTCCACTGTTAAAATTCAGGGCCAGTAGTTGGCTAACTTGTAAGATAGAAGGCCCTTGGGGGCATTTTTTTAATCTCTCCTCAGAAAGTATCTTTCCCAAAGTATCACAAAAACACATTCATTCTTTCAACTTTTTTACTTCAAAATTAGTACATAGGTTAAAAAAATACAATATAATCACATGAACTTTGACTTTTAAAGTCATATTGACTTGAGTAAATAGTGGCATAAATGGCAACTCTTCGGATGATTTGGAATAAATCCAGCCAGACGAGGAGGCGAGATCACAGCTGCATCAGCCACCTCGGGCGCTCTAGGTCGAGGTGACAGAGGCATACGTGAACGAGGACCCTGAGAAGCGCTGACACAAGACGCCTGTAGTAGTTGACGACTGTGGGGCGTCAAGTTGACGTAGGCTGCCTCTGAGGCGATGAAGTACAACGCCAACGTACAACGCCTCTGGTGGGCGTAACCATCGCAGATGGGAGTGTCAGAGGTGCAGGTGGTGACTGACGAGACAGAAGTTAATGTCTGAAGAATACATATTTATTGCAGAGCAATTTCCTATGTGTGTTTAACTCAGCTAAAAGACACAAAAATGAATTTTGGTGGCAAGTGATCATTAACAATATGAACTAGAATGTGATTTTGCTTATAAATAAATATGCCTCCCCCTTCCTTATTTTGATACATTTGTTCAACTTGTTACCATAAATGGGTTTGCAAATGCAAAAACAATAATAGCAAAAAAATACCCGCACAAACTGATAAATGCATATATATGCCAACATAATGAAAAGTCTGACAGCAATATATGTTGGCAAATATGTGAGCATGGACAAAATTCTAAATATGGACAAATAATAAGTACAGTGATAGGGTAGTACTTGTCTTCTCACTCTTGTGGCACTGTGGAAATTATTTCATGTGTGAAATCATTCGTTAGAAATTATTCATGGTGTGTCAATTTAAGCAAGAGAACTACAATAAACTGATAAACAGAAGGTCAGAGTAACAATATACATGGAAAACCAGTGCTGATTTGTATTCACATATTTCAGCTGACTAAATTGTCAGCTATAATCATTGGAAACTCAGTGCAAACTGTTTATATGGAAACGTGTGAGTTGAGGTGAAAAGGGGTCATTCAAGATAAATACACGGAAGCGGATTATGGAAACGTGAAAAATTAAAAATAGCAAAAGGCAGCAATTCAGCTGATGATAAATGCATGACATATATTTTAGCCTGAAAAGATAATGGTTTCATGCAGAAATATTCTTTAGCTGTAGAGTTTTGGCAGGAAACAAATGCTTCTGGTTTGATTCAAATTTAAAGTATTAAAATATTAAAAGGCGATAGTATGTGGTATGTTGTCATTGCACATGTATAGTTTCATGCAAAAATATTCTTTTGTTTGAGAGTTCTGGCTTGGATACGAAGCCTAGAGTTCACATTGTTTCTATAGAAACGAAACAAAATAAGATTTAGAAAAATCCAACATAGCAAAAGGCACCAGTTTAGCTGATGAGCAAAGCATATGCCAAGTTTTGTTGAAAAATGTGGCTTGGTTTTCAAGTTATGGCTCAGACTAGGATTGGGGTGCCAAAGGGAACGAGCCAAAAACAATACGTCTCTCTTTTGGAGGAGTGAGTGAGTGAGTTGGGTTGAACACCGCTTTTAACAGTATTTCAGTTATATCATGGCATGTCAGCTTCATGTGGGAGGAAAGCCTGAAGTGATGCAGGTCTCAAATGTTTACCACTTCGGTCAAACCCACGAGCACGGGTATGGCGCTGACAAAATTAGAAACATAATTGGGGCGAACCGGCAATAAATCTTATGAAAACTGCCAGAAAGTCATCAGTCAGCTTCACTGCTGAGGATGAGACAACATTTTTACAAGCTCAGAGTTAGAAATTCCAAGTAGCTATCATCCAAGCACTTCCTATACACTGAAGTCATTGTGACCAACAAATCTCTTTTGGGGGGGGGGGGGGACCCACCATTTTAATTTCATGGAGGGTGGGGAACAATATATTTTTAGGTGGACAACTTCAAAACACACATATTTTCTGTGAAAGGAGGAGCTGATAAATACAATATGTTCACTTTTTTTCAGGACATCCAGCAGGTCTGGAAATAAATTTATTTTTTGTTGGGGCGAATACCTGAGGACAAATTATTTATGCTCATGCTCCTATAATATCAAATGGTCGGGGTCGGTCCCTAAATCACCTCCAACATCAACCATGTGACTTCGAACAGTATCAGCGATAATTGATCGACCTGAGGTGTGATGCTCCCATGGTAGATGTTTCTGGAGGAAGTGGACAGACTAGAAACAAAATATCAAAGGGTACAGAAGAGTGCTTTTAAGCTATAATCGACTAGAGGTGAGACACTCTTGTGATAGATGTTTCTTGAGGAAGTGGACAGACTAGAAACAAAATATCAAAAGGTACAGAAGAGTGCTTTTAAGCTATAATCGACTAGAGGTGAGACACTCTTGTGATAGATGTTTTTGGAGGAAGTGGAGGAGTCTCTTCCAGGCGTCCTCCTGGGCTGCAGCATGAGCTTCAGGCTGTCCTCCCCACACGAGAGTTATGTCTGTCGGGAAACACAAATAGTCAGAAAAACTTTGGATAGACACAGCAAGAGTTACATTCTTAAAAAGTATTAAGCAACTTTTCAGGTATATTTTATAAAGTGAAAAAAGTACATTTTTGAGTTACCTGACTCATAGAACATAGCAACATGCATCCCTCTAAAACACTGCAGAGGCAAGGAGGCAGATTTTGTGATGCTTCACTTGATTTGGTGAGGAGAAACTCTAAAAGGTGTGGTTATCTCCCATGAACAAATGTTCTTAAGAAAAGTAATCCACCTGTGAATTTTCAGCCAAATAGTGGTGCAGTGGTGAAGAGTGTCTGTTATCATTAAGCTGAAGAAATGGGACTCCTTGTGACTCCAGCAGTCAAATGAGTCCTATCTATGCATGAAGGTTATGCAAGCCCTACATTACCTGACATTGAAGGTGAGGTGAAATTTGGTGTAACGTCGCGTTCAACATTATTGCACTTATATAGCGACGTGCATGCACACATGTGTGGTGTGGTGTGGTGTGGTGTGGTGTGGTGTGGTGTGGTGTGGTGTGTGTGTGTGTGGCTGCTTGTACTAGTCTGGACTGCTGCCGATTTATTGTGCTAACTTACTGAGATACCATGCTACAGTTTAAAATGAATAGGCCACTCAGACACAGTATACTGACTCCGAGCCGACTAGTCCTTGTTTTAACCCCTTAATGCTGAGCGCCAGACAAGGTAACAAGTACCATCTTTTAACGTCTTTTGGTATGACGTGGACGGGGATCGAACCCCAGAGCTTCTGCTCTCCGGGGCGGACGCTCTACCACTAGCCCACGGAGGCGGTCATACAGGCTTTGCAGCCAGACAGATCATTACCCACGAACCCCGAACCTTCCACTAGACCACGGAGGTGTTGACCTGACATTAAAGCAATGGGTAGATCACTCAGCCACGAGGCTATGATCCAATGTCAAATAAGATGTTAATTTTATGAATAATATAAAAAAAGAGCATTGCAAAGAAAAAACACAAGTTTGTTCGTCAAAGACTTCAAGGAACGTCATTGAGGATAACTAGAGGCAGTATAAGTATGGTAACTGTCAGGAATGAGATGGACAGATCAACATGTACGTGTCTTAGTAATGTTACCCATGGCACAGTTCAATGATCAACAGTGTAAGTCAATATCTGGTGTAGCCACTCCTTACATGTATCATGGAAGACATCTCATGGTCAAAATCAGACTCCTGATCCTCAACTGAAGGATGTGTTGCCATTCCTGATGCAATGCCTGGCTCAATTCTTGGAGATTCTGTACTGGAGGGTCCATGGCTCAAACCCTACATCCCAAATGACGTCATAAATTCTCAATTGGATTCAGGTCTGAGCTTTGATGTCCCCCCTTGCCTCCAGGCACAAGTCCTACCATCAGTGTGGTGGAATAAGAACTGACTCTCATCAGACTAATGAGTTCCAGTGTGCTTGAGCCTGACAACAGGCTAAATGATCTCCCATGTGTTGGGGTGAGAGGAGTGGACATCTTATTGGACTTCCTGCCCTTAATCGTGGGGCACGGGTGGCCCAGCCGTCTAAGGCGCCGCTGTGGAGAGTTGCGTCCCTTGGGCAAGCCAGAAACCTATGATTGTGGGTTCGAATCCCGGTTCGCCCCGATTATGTTTCTAGGTTTGTCAGCACCATACCCGTGCTCATGGGTTTCACCGAAGTGTTAAATGTCTGAGACCTGCATCGCTTCGGGCTTTCCTCCCACATTAAGCTGACACGCCGTGATATAACTTGACTACTGTTAAAAGCGGCGTTAAACCCAACTCACTCACTCACTCACTCACTCCTGCCCTTAATCCTGCTGCATTCAGTTGACACCTGATGATGCTACGGGACACTCTGTAGTGGGTATGCCAGTGATGACAAAGGACAGTGCAAGTTGAAGCTGGCAGACGTTTTGCATGGCGTACAAAGAACCTGTCCTCTCTGGCACTGGTCTTCCGTGGATGTCCTGATCTCAGCAAGTCACTCACATGTCCAGTCAATGTATTTTCTCATAAGTTGACTGATTAAAGTATGATTAATGTTTTACACGGTGGCAATAGCCCAACATGACATGCCAGTTTGATACATGCCAATGTTTAGCCATCTTTGATTTTCTGTGATAGTACGCTAAGGCATTTTACTCACAATTGTTCCAAAGGCAGACTTTCAAATTGGTAGGACTTTCATTCAAAATTAATAGCCGTAAAGATATATGAGCTTTCTGTCATCCCACTCCAATAATATCAAATGTCGGTCGCTAAATCACCTCCAACATCAACCATGTGACATTGAAAATGAACAAAACCAGCAGGGTACTGTCAACGTGGTGATGACACTCACCTAGCATTCTGTGATAAGATGATCTACATAGGGGCATGTATGGTGGTTCTATGAGGTGCCCCGTCCTTGGGTAGATGACAACTTCAATGTTATCCCTCTTCTCTGCTGGGAAACTGTCCTTGAATTTATTAGCATTGGCAGTTGTCCATGTGCCGTCTTCTTCTCCACACAAGTATAACAATGATGCATTTTTCTCCCACACCTGCAAACATGCATAATTTCTCTAAAGTCATTTACAACATGTGCTTGAAAAGAAAACAATATGACAAAGTCATCAATATTCCCCGCAATAGTAAAGACTTGTCTTGATTATGTCAACTAGTTATATATAATAAAATTTCTAAAATTTCAAAACTGTCAAAAGGCACCAGTTCCCCACTAGACCAATTTATGTGTGCATAAAATATTGTACGGTTTTCAAGATCTGCTCCGGAAACGACATCTTGCACAGATGGACAGAGAGACGAACGGCAGACAGTGTCCATTTCAATACCCCCGGCAAAACATGTTGCAGGGGATAAAAATAATGCTGTTTGTGTTTGGTATCCTCAGAGGGTGCAACTCAGAAGAGTAAGGGGCAGAGCTCCAGATAGCGGTAACTTTTTGAGCAATTTTTGAGCAATTTTGTCATTTAATGCATGAGTTTCTGTACGCAAGTTAATTGAAAGTATTTGGATTTTGAATATTTTGGGGGAGTAGTTTATGCAAATACGCTGCTTATCTGTGGCTCTGGTAAGGGGCACGGGTAAGTAAAAAAAGTCACTGCCACTGATGTGTGCATTGTCCTAAAGCAGTATAGCACTTGGATGGAGCTTCACTGGAGATTTCTCCTTCTCTCAACTGACATAGTCCTGTGGCACAGTACTGCCTCTTTATCATGCCCGTTTACCCTTGCAGATCCTGACAGAATATCAAGCCTTCAATGTCATGTCCAGGAACTGTGTAGAAGAACATTAACCGATGACATTAATGCATGTAGCTACAGCTTCCTTGGCCTCAGGGTTTCAGAGGCCGCGCATAGCTCACATGAACCTCAGACAACAAGACATACGTATCAATATCATGTTTTCTCGCTAAGAGTATCTGTACATCTGTGAAGCCTTAACAAGCCCTGTATGTCATCAGCATCAACAATATACAGAAAAGGGAACTACAGCAGGTTCAAGCAATATGGTCCTAGTCCCAACAACTGATCCCAACATCTTCGTCTTCTTTCTCCAATTCTCCAAATGTTTCATATCAATCCAGGATTATACCGGGTGCACAATACTGTGTCCTCTGTGCATAGATCCTCAGAATGGATGCCAATGGGATTGAAAATTATATCTCTTTAAATCATCAGAATTTGTTCAATTGTAGCATCTCAAAAGAAATTCATTCTAAGTTTAGACTCTCCATTTCGGGTTTTTCTTCACTCAATTACTATCTGACCTCAGAGTTTCATTTCAAACAAGATCACCTCTCATAATTAGCTAAGATCATCGTATAATGCCTATTGTCCCCAGTGTGTAGACGACACAGTGGTCAGTCAGTTTCATGGCTGTGAACCTCCAGAACTCTTCCAGAGAGTCCCCAGGAGTCACAGTGGTCAGTCAGTTTCATGGCTGTGAACCTCCAGAACTATTCCAGAGAGTCCCCAGTCACAGTGGTCAGTCAGTTTCATGGCTGTGAACCTCCAGAACTATTCCAGAGAGTCCCCGGGAGTCACAGTGGTCAGTCAGTTTCATGGCTGTGAACCTCCACAAGTAAATGTCCCTGTCAATCCAACAGTTCATGAATGCTCCGATTGTACAGATACATTGTCTCAACTCAACAAAATGCAAACTCTTCCATATCTTGGCCAAGATTGAAATGAAACATACGAGAAAGGAGCATTCTGTATTCAACGTAATAAGCGCCCCGCACTGATAAGCGCCCATATTGGCAAGCGAAAAATCCCATTTAGCACCCCTTCCAATTGATCAATGTACCAAAGACTTATTTACAGTCAAGTCCCGTTAATCCGACATTGATGGTTGCATATGATTATGTCGGATTAACGAGTATGTCGGATAAACGAAATTAAGTAGTATCAACGTTCGTGATCGAAAATCGGACAACTACACGATAGATATAAGGGTTCAAACACGTAATAAAACATATAAAATAAATATTCAAATTGTTATGTTACATTGTTGGCGGAATATGTTTTCTAATCATGCATTCTCCAAAGTTTAACACAAAACAACTGTTACGGACTGTATGACTTATTCAAAATACTTGAAAAAGCATAGTCTGGAATGGAAGTCGCAACTTTGAAACTGGTACCTAAAGCTTAAGAAAGCTGCTTTCTAAGTGGCTAACGTCGATTTCCTGTTGGTCATTTCATTGGTAGGTCATAGATCGCAAAAGGTTGTTCTGACGTGACCTGTAATGGGATGTCCTCGTCGAGAGCGAGAATTTGTATCTGATAATAATAAGATTGAGGTTAGCTAAGCATGTGATTTATCCTGTTTTCTTTTTATTTAAAGCATAAATTGTTTATTGTTAAGCAAGTTTATCTCTGCAGCCGTTGTAATATGCAGCTACCAGCCAATTCGTCTCACATCAAAACACGGGCTGTGTACTCGCGGGCAGATGACCACGGTGTACGCTGATCACTGTGTCGGATTAACAAGACTGATTAATGAGTGATTTCAGCAATTCGTTGCAAATTAGGTGTGTCGGAGTCGGAGTGCGAGACTGTCGGATTAACGGGTCTAAATAGCGTTGATTTAATCGGTTCCCATCATTAGCATCGGATAAAGCCGATTGTTGGATTAACGAGTGTCGGATTAACGAGACTTGACTGTATTTGCATAAAGTACTCACTCCTGTGTTATATGCACCCTTAATTATGGGCAATTAAATTCTGGAAAAATATATCTGTCATATATATACATTTCAGGCTGTCAGCATAAACCACGAAACTTATCTTTCAACTGTTTTTTTTCACCAAAATAATATTCTTATAAGAGGCCCCTATTTCAAATTTGGAGAGCACCCTGGGTGCTTATTACATTGAATACGGTAGTCTACCCGTAATACAAATGACAATGCAATGCTACTAACTTCAACTCTGACAGGCTATTTTACCAACCGGAATAAATGTTGCAGGGTCATACGGGAAGCAGCGGGTTGTAGTAACACCCTCATCAGTACGATCAACTTTAGTTCTGTCAAAACTGAAAATAAACATATAATATAAACATTAAAATAGAGGGGTAACATTTCGATGGGGTTGCTATACGATACATTTCATACTATGGTTGCGACATGATTCGTATCCCAATATAGCACTTGTATTTCATAAGTTACATTCTTTCTTTCTTCAGGTGAATCACAACCCGGAATCTTTTGTTTTAAATTTCAGAGATCAAAATGGGATATTGCAGGGCAGAAACATATAGGGTAGAGGGCACTGTGAATAGCCAAGTGGGAGACACAAGAGAATCCGTGGAAGCTGGTTGAATAATTTCTATTGTTATTCATAGGCATTTATTCAAATATAACTTGCAATGTAATGTACCGTAAGTATCACGATACAGGGTTTGTAAATCGATGTATTGTATCATGGGTCTTGTATTGTGATACAATACTTCAATGCCGTATCGTCACACCACTAGTAAACACTAGACACAACACAAACCAGTATACATACAGTGAGTGAAGGGCACATCACAGTCACCAGTATTACATTTGTGTGGACCAGTAAAACCAATGATCAATCGCATGAGCAAATATCATTTATGTTGTGTTGATCTATCACTGTAACTATCAATTAATGATAATAATTACGTGCATATTTTAATGCAGTAACCCATGCCCTAAAGTGTGCTCAAAGCGTTACATTATTACTCCGGTCAATGGATTGATGTGCACCCAATGTGCATTCTCAGCTCCCATGGAAGTATACAACCCAAGCTACCTGTGAGGCACTAGAAGGATTACAGTCACATTACCATGTGAAACTTCACAGGTCTCTACTACATTCCTCCATCCTCTGGAGACATAATGATTCTTGACAGTGTACCGGGGTAGTTGTTATATTTTACCAAAGAAAGAAGCCTCAGGTTGATTCCAGAAAGAGGGGAACCAGGAAGTGCTCAGACCAATCACTCCCATGAAGACCTGGGTTAGAATAGGTCTTTAGCAACACATGCCTGCTGTAAAAGGCGACTATGCTTGTCGTAAGAGGCGACTAATGGGATGGGGGGGTCAGGCTCGCTGACTTTGTTAATGATGTCATCGTTCCCCAAGATGCTCACGATGTCAATCACTGAGTTATCTGCTCCAGACTTGATGATTTACAGACCGTCGTCATACAGCTAGAATATTGCTGGGTGCAGCGTTAAACAATTGTGATTCTTAATCAGTTTTTCTTAGTTGTTTTGTGGGGTTTTAACTACCAAGACCAAATCAAACAAAGCATCATAAATACTAGGTCCTCTGGCCTGCTGTTTTCTGTGAGGGATGCATGTTGGTAGATTCTGCGAGTCAGCTAGATGCGGATATCTGGAGATGGCAGAGGTTATCCGGAAAACAGACAAACCAGTGATTGAAACTATGAGCAAGGATCCATCCCATCAGGATACGGACCCGTAAAGATTCAGGGGACGAATAGGTCTTCGGGATCCCATGCTTGCCGTAAAAGGTGACTATGCTTGTCGTAAAAGGCGACTAACGGGATCGGGTGGTCAGGCTCGCTGACTTGGTTGGTGCATGTCATCGATCCCAATTGCGTGGATCGATGCTCATGATGTCGATCACTGGATTGCCTGGTCCAGACTCGATTATATACAGACTGCCGTCATATAGCTGGAATACTGCTGAGTGCGGCGTTAAACAACAAACCAACCAACCAACCAACCAACCATCAGGATACGATGACATGCAATCAACCAAGTCACTGAGTCTGACCACCTGATCCATTAAGTCAGCTCATAGTACAAGTATTGGCTGCTGGTGACCAATTCTAACCCCGAGGTTAGAGTTTGTTTGTTAATTGTTTAACACGGCACTCAGCTATTTTCCACCGTTATCACTGTCTGTAAATGATGGAGTATGGACCAGACAAGCTAGTGATTGACATCATGAGCATTGATCGATACGATGACTTCCATCAACCCAGTCAGCGAGTATGACCATCCTATCCCATGGGTTGGAGAGGAGTGAGTGAGTGAGTGAGTTCGATTTAACACTGCTTTTAACAGTATTCCAGTTACATCATGGCGTGTCAGCTTCATGTGGGAGGAAAGGCCAAAGTGATGCAGGTCTTAGACGTTTACCACTTCGATGAAACCAACGAGCACGGGTATGGTGCTGACAAACCTAGAAACATAATCGAGGCGAACCAGGATTCGAATCCACAATCATAGGTTTCTGGCTTGCCCAAGGAACGCAACACTGCACAGCAAATCACAGCACCTTAGACAACTGGGCCAACCATGCCCCCCTGGAGAAGATCAATTCTAAGCCCAATATAGTATAGTTTAAGAGTGCATGAAGGGATACAATTGACCAAATAACACAATTTCGCAGGTTTACCCCTAAAAATATTTTTACTTACTGCAATCCTTTCACAAAGACCTGTCCTGATTTCTTGAGATCGTCAAATGAAAATATTGGAGACCCACTTACGTTCACCACAGCTTTAACCTGTTGACAAAATTAACAAGTATAAGATGGAGAAAGTGAAAACTATGTCTTCTCCTTACAGTTGCACATAGATGTTTTAGGAGAGCCATAACTAACTTTGAAACCTGAAAGTAGGGTGAGTGATCAAACTATCGATGGACTGCAACGATCTGTGATCTGGCAGCAAAATTCACTGGTCTACCGACATGAGGTTAACTTTGTTTATATCATAATCATATGTACAGTGACGAGGATACATGGTGTGTGTTTAGCTGCTTATACTTGTCCGGTGTGATGCCGGTTTTATAGTGCGAGCCACCTGAGATACCATGCCCTGATCAGACACACTACACTGATTCCAAGTTGGCCAGTTCTTGTTTTATACCCTAAATGCCCAGCACCAGGCAGGGTAACAACAAATACCATCTTCTGACATCTTTTGATATGATGTGGCCTGGGGATTGACCCACTGACCTTGCACTTGACCCACCGACCTTGCAACTGACCCACCGACCTTGCATTTGACCCACTGACCTCGCACTCTCTAGTCAGACTCTCTATTCACTTGATCATGAAGGCAGTCTCCAAGACATATCAGTTACTATTGATGTTATAGATACTGAACTCAAAAAGACAGCGTTAATCATCACCTTTTCCATTTACACTAAAATCAAGTTCACTTCACAAAGGAATGACAATGACTGGTGTTTGATAATTGTAATATTCATATTTCTTTATGATGTTGTGTGTGAAGAGGCATGGGCACTCATACAAAAGCCATATTCTGAAGTGGTGACCCCCACAGACCTTGTAAACAATATGGGTGAACCATTAAACAAACTGACCAAATTCTTTTCACAAAAGTACTGCCAAAGACCAATCATTATATCATGAACTTAACAAAAACAACAACATCATATGTTAAGCTAACCGAGGCAATTTCAATTCCAAATGCAGCTTGGTTTCCGTCCAATTAACTTCCTTGCCTCAGGAATTCGAAGATGGGCATAGATGGCCAAGCTTAAAATGCTGCAATTCGTTGTGCAGAGTTGCTTCCCTTGGGCATGACTGAAACCTATGATCGACGATTTGAATCCCGGTTTACCCCAATTATGTTTCTAGGTTGGATCTGATTTTCAGCTAAAAGTGATAACTAGTTTGTTATCTACTCTAGCATGTATCTACAAATGTGGGACGGCACATTTTAAGGTGGACTAATGACATTCATGTCATTTCCAATCTCCAATGTCATTTCATGTACAAGATTTCATTAAAATGTGGTGTGTAGTACCATTGTCCTGTGACTGCAACAACAACTGCAGAAAGCTTACCTTATCACAGGACATGCCAAGCAGGAAGGCCAGTTCACCACCCTTTGAGGTACCGACCACACCGATACCTCCAGCCTGGACATAGGGAAGAGAGGCCAGCCAGTCCACAGCATCCTGAACAAAACAAAAAAAACCCAAGAAATTAATTTCAATCTTAATGGCATTCACCATATCTTGTACACTTCTAGATAATCTGCAGGGGGTGGGGTAGCCTAGTGGTTAAAGGGTTCGCTCCTCACGCCAAAGACCCGGGTTCGATTCCCCACATGGGTACAATGTGTGAAGCCCATTTCTTGTGTCCCTCCCCCGCCATGATATTGCTGGAATATTGCAAAAAAGCGGGGTGAAACGATACTCACTCACTCACTCTAGATAATCTGCAGTCAGCGTTTGAAATAATTTAAAAACCCAACAAGACAGTCAGGCAGGTGAACCAGAAGTGTTGCTAGCACATTTTCAAAGTTACCTGCCCCACCATTCAGACATTATAAATACTGAAAAATCACAAAAAACTAAGAGACAAATCTAGTCTTGATTCAGTTGAAATAATGTTAACAATTACTTGAGAATGTACAAGGAGTTAGGCAGGTGGCAATCTCATTAAAATCAGACCTTAGTTCTCGCTACTGCTGAACAAAGATCTGAAGACATCCCATTAGGGGTCACGTCAGAACGACCTAGACCATATGTTAGCCATTTCGGAATGTTCTTTTGTTCAGGTTTCAAATTTATAATTGAGAATTTGTCAAAATATGTTTCGAAGCGTAGTCGCCAATTTGAAATTTAGTGCTGTAAAGCACAAGAAAGCTGCCTTCTGATTGGTCATTCCATTGGTCGGTCAAAGTTCGCGCAAGGTCGGTTTGACATGACCCGTAATGGGATGTCCTCAGATCTTTGTTTAGCGGTAGCGAAAACTAAGATCTGATTTTAATGAGATTGGGCAGGTGGAGGAAAATTTCATGCAGCCTGATGGAAAAGTTACCACCTATAGGCAGACAGGCAGTTATTTCGGACGCTGTCTGTAGTGTATGGTAAATATGTCACAGAATTTGAAGAACTTTGGAATAGAATTTGCCATTATTATACTTCTATCATTATATTACCTGGGACTACATATGCATAATAACTTAAATTTTCAGGGATTATTTGTAAAGCCAGGTTTGCTCAGGGAATGTGCATAAACGCTGAAATATTCAGTTGAAAACTTATTTTGTGATACATCTGGAAATATGTATCAAAATATTATCAGAAGTCAGTGAATATAATACCCCAGAAAAATCAGGAATTGTGTTTTTTCCCTGAGCAAATCAGGAATGAACAATGTATCCTTTAAATGTAATGGAAGGTACCTATTCCCAGATTATACATAATCCCTGTTGTGTTTAACTGTGGGGGCAGTGTTGTGACAATTATTACCCATAGGGTTAGAAATAACCAAGTTAATAAAAATCGTATGTACACTAGAGCAAATATCACTTCACGTGCATCAGTGTATTGTTTCCGTCATCCGGACGGCATTGTTGACGGCATTCAAATTTTATTGTTACATAAGGTCGGAATGATGCCACACTTTAAACGACGTCATATCTGAAGATTGTTGCTGTCATTCGACAATTGTGGTTTTCTTAGACGGTGGTCGTGATCATTGCATTTTTCGAAAGGGAAGCTCAAAACAATTAAGAAATAAGATGCAATAAAGAAATTATTACACTGACATGTGCGTCACACTGAATTTACAAAAATCATGTAAAAATTCATGAATTACCCTTGTTCTCACTCTGGAAATACAAGAATTCTGACACTTGTTTCGTAATATCAGTATGGCACAGATGCTTGTACAAGAATCACAATCATCCAACAAATAATCATCTCATGTGAAAGATCTCTTGGCAATTTTACAGGTTATATTACATTCAAACATGACAAGCCTTTCATTTGGAACAAAAAACCCAATTTGTTTACAAACGCTTCAACCAATATTTATGAAGCAATTTTTCTGAAACAAAATTAATCAATGCCATTTTGTAATAAGCTCTGCTAATCTGCAACCAGTAGATCTAAGAACTTACAAGAAAGTAGTCCATGTCAAGGTCAGCCAATGATTTGGGAAGGTCATCATAACCAAAGTAGCCGAGTGCGAAGGCAGCGAAACCTCGAGAAGCCAACAATGCAGCTCGGAACTCCACCAGCCCTCCGGTAGAACCAAACATGTCGAGCACTCCAGGAAAGGGGCCAACGCCTAGATGAGCAAATGATTCGGAGTGAAGAAAGCCCAAAGTGAATCAGATCTTAGGTATTTACCACTTTGGTGAAACCCATCAGCCTGTTTATGGTGCTGGCAAAACATACGAACATTGTCGTGTAATCTTATGTTGTATATGTACAAATTTATCTTACACATCTTTATATTGCGTAATGTCTTATGCATGCATTATCCGGTCCGAAATTGATAAGAATCGGTAAATGTGTGATAAAACATTTGAACGGAGTAGGCGTTGCACAGAACGTGGGAAGCACTGCCATACAATCTCGACCATCAATAATGGTTAGCCAACTGAACGCAGTCAAAATCACGTGTACAAAATAGTAGAAACATATCAACAGTAACAGTGCAAATGGCGTTATCTGGAATGTCGGTTAAAAATATAAACTCACATCAAACCAGTTTAATGGTAGACAATATAAAATTTCTGATTTTGGAAAAGTTTGGAAACTGCATTAATATATGCATGTAACAACTATATGTTACCAAGGTTACGACGTTATTTCTTTATTGACTGTCATGCCATACTGACAGAAAACATATTATTTACAGGACACAGATTTATTTTCTTAAGGTGACATGGGTGGTCTGCTCGTCCAAGGTGCTGCAATTTGTTGTACAGAGTTGCATCCCTTGGGTACCCAGAAACCTATGATTGTGGGTTCGAATCCCAGTTCGCCCCAATTATGTTTGTAGGTTTGTCAGCACCAGACCCGTGCTCCTGGGTTTCGCCAGAATGGTATTTAGGATGGGTACTGGAGGTTCAAAGTATATCGCAATACTTGACGATGCACAAAGCTGTATAGTCTGTCTTACAGACCCTGATACAAATATATCAAATACAGCCAATGCAAGTGTATAATATAATGTTTGGCAAGTCTAGATTACTGCAGTATCTGAAAATGAAGAGAGTCTCAGGCTCCTTTTTATCATATTTTTATTAAGATAATTTAACAACTGGTTTTTTTCTGTAGGATATGTTCATTTCAGAGACTAGATGTTAGTCTAAAAGCTGTATTGTGATACGTATCACAATATATTGTATAATTCTTAATTTAAAACACCAGTGTATGAATTAAAATTCATAAATGCAACAAAGCAAGATGCTGGTAGAACATATTTTCACTCATTCAATAAATATGCTCTAGATGCCTGTTCCGGGTATTTGGCAAGAATAAAACGATAAACACATGATAAATATTGCCATATCACCCGATATACAGAGCATTAAAAAATTATATTGTGATAAAAGAGACCATGTGCCGATATATGGTCTCTGGTGATAAGTATTGTGGAAAGAATGAACCTCAATTTACCTATATACCAATAATAACGAGGACCCATAGTGGTAAACATCTAAGACCTGCATCACTCTGGGCTTTCCTCCCACATTGAGATGACATGTTGTGATATAACTGGAATTTTCTTCAAAGCGGTGTTAATTCCTTTTTACTCAGTCACTCACTCACTTTGCTTCCAATTGACTGCCGCATCAGTCATTCACAGAATGTACAACTTGTTTGATTGTAACTGATTAAAAGTAAGTTCATTCATATTCTTTTCCTACATTGAATTCTTGACAAAACTCTGGAAACCACCAACAACAAAAAGGTTTTAGTTTTCCTATTGTTATAAGTTGATTGTAAAGTTGAAACCAGAATTCAATGTACAGAACTAATTTGTGAAATCAGTAAATAACAACAAAAGATCAATGAATAATTAGTAGTGATCAACAATTAACAAATTATATTGAAACACACACCAATAACAATCATAAGTGGGAATACAATGGTCCAATATGTGGCAGCAGCAAAAAATAATAGTCCCCATATTAATTGTCAATGCATGCATGAGTGTCCAGAATGAGACATGTGATCTGTGCTCTTGAACATGGAAAATAACCTTCTAGAAACTCTAACCACACAAAACATATCAAAAGAGGTAGACTGCAAATGAACTCCTCCCAGTGGTTAAGCAATATGGCAGAGCTTGGACTGTAAACAACTAAGGGAGGTCACTCCATTGTACAATTTGCTATAGGAGGATCACCATAAACCACCAGAACACTCCACATTTTATGAGCATTTCATTAAATTTGCTGTCACGAATAATCAGCAGAAACCGCCTTACAATATTTACTGCCACATACCAATATTACTCACCTGCAGGCAAGAAGAGAGTTCCTCTCAGGGAACCTTCCCGCACGGCAATCCTCCTCACAGAACCGTGCTTGTACCAGCGTTGCAACTCGCCTGTTGCCAGCACCATTGTTGTGGGCAGCTGGAGATCATCAAAGGGGATGTGGTCATCTATGACTGATAGTCTGAAGACCAGAGGTGTCGTCACATCTGCCTTCATAATACGAGTCCTCGTGGACACCCCTGGAACAGGCTTCAGGCTCCAGAACAGACCCATGCTGTCGACACCTGTGGAAAAACACATGGGCTCATTCACAAAACTCCACAAACAGTCAACTCTACCAAAGGCTATGTTCTATGGAGTCATGTAGGGAAGGAAATTAGTACTTGTCTGCTAACCCCGACCAGTTTTGTTTATGTTAAGGTATCCGCACGGCTGGTAGAATTTCAAACATTATTGGGGAGAATTGCTATATGTTACCCAATTTGGGTAAGTCTACATTCTTGGTTAATTTCCTTCCCTTGGCATGTGGTCACAAATATAGTGCACATGTAAATCAGATTATGGTCAACGGGAATAATAATGCCACTGCATAAAAAAGGTAGTAAAAGTAATCCTAATAACTTTCGTGGTATATCACTTCTCAATATAATGGGTAAAATGTTTTCTTATGTTCTGAATAAAAGACTACAATGTTTCTTAGACTACCAAGGCATAATTGGTGAATATCAAGGGGGGTTTAAGAAAGATCATTCAACTATTGATAACATTTTCATTTTGCAAGCTATTATACAAAAGTATACCACTCGCAAAAAAGGAAAAGTATATTGCGCTTTTATCGATTTTCGAAAAGCATTTGATATGGTTAATAGGAGTAAGTTAATGTATATTTTATTGCAAAATGGTATTCATGGCAAGTTTTTATGTATTATCCAGAGTATGTATAATCATGTTAAAGCAACTGTAACATACGATTATGGCAAGAAAATTACTGAGTATTTTGATAGTTCATGTGGGGTAAGACAAGGTTGTACTCTTAGTCCAGTACTGTTTTCTTTGTTTATCAACGAATTAGTTATATGTTTGGAAAGTAAATTCCAGGATGGTGTTTTTATCTCAGAGGAAATGTTAAATATAATTGCCCTGTTGTTTGCCGACGATTTAATACTTGTTGCAGACAGTGTATTAAAATTACAAAAGCGTCTTGATGAATTATATTTATACTCTGATAAATGGGGTATGGATATTAATACTGAAAAGAGTAAAATTATTGTGTTTAAAATGGGAGGACCCTTGTCAAAAAATGAGAAATGGTATTATAACGGTGAACGTATGAATACGGTTAACGCCTATAAATATTTGGGACTTGTTTTCACTCCCAAATTAATTTGGACTAAGGCCTGTAAAACTCTATGTGAGCAAGCAAGCAAAGCACTTTGGTCAGTTAAATCGTTAATAAGACGTTATGACATTTCGGTTACGGAAGCATTCTTTATATTTGATAAAAAAATTGTCCCGATATTAATGTATGGTGCTGAGATTTGGGGATACCAAAAATGGAATACGATTGAAATTGTTCACCGCAAATTTTGTAAATTTTTACTTCACACGGGCTACAGGACTGCAAATGCAGTAGCCTATGGTGAATGTGGTAGGTATCCACTTCATACTATTTATTATGTAAAATGCATTAAATATTGGTTTAAGATTTTGCAAATGAGTCCTAACAGATACCCATACCAGTGTTATAAAATGTTATTATCCATTGCTGATAGAAAACGTCCTAACTGGGCATCGCATATCAGACTTCTGCTAAGTCATTTTGGTTTTGGGGATGTATGGGCTGCACAAGGCGTTGGCAATGCAGAATTATTTGTACATATGTTCAGCGAAAGAGTTAAAGATTGTTCTTTTCAAGATTGGCATGCATCTCTAGGCAGCAAGACCCTCTCATTCTATAAACTGCATAAATCTAATATCGTTTGTGAAAAATATTTATCAAATATTAAGCATTGTGAATATAGAAGGCTAATAACCAAATTTAGATGTGGACAGAATACTCTTGGTATTCAACTTATACGTAGGGGTGTTGCTAATATTGAGGAGGATGCCGTCTTATGTAAGCACTGTCATGTAATTGAGGATGAACTTCATGTTATATACAACTGTCCTCTTTATGCAAGTCGGCGGGAAATGTATATCCCAAAGACAGTTAATCACAACTATTTTTGTTTAGAAAGACTCTGTCAAATATCCAACAACGATGCAATGATAAATTTTGCAAAATTTCTAATGTACGTGTTCTCAACACACACACACACACACACACACACACACACAAAAGTATCAATTAGGTAACTCTTAGATAAATAAAATGTAAATGTATTTTGTACAATGGGTCAAATGGCCTTATACAAATAAATCTGTCTGTCTGTCTGTCTGTCTGTCTGTCTGTAAATCAGATGCATGCCAAGCATCACTGGTCATGAAGAGTAGGTGGATCGGTGACTGTGTTGGGCAGCGTGACTCAGCTGCAACAAATTGTTAGATACAGCAAACCATTCGTAAAAACTGCTTCCATTCCACAAAGCTCTAACACAACTGAACTCCCATAATTTAACTTTCCCTATCAAAAGTTGAAATGTTAAATATGCTTTTCGGAACCCAAAATCTTGACCCACTAAGAGAAAGTGATTTTATTAAAACTTATGTAAGTTTGTGTTAAAAAAAATGAAAAAAAATGTCATAACATATTGTAAGTTTCTGAAGTTTACACAATGGCACTACAACAAGATGAAGCTGTGAATTGTGATGGATTCTGTTTAAACACCTGGGTGTAGTGATCTGGAGAATTGTGTAACTTCTACTTGCACAATAGGATGCTAAAGAATCGACTGTGGTTCATATGCATGTGGGTGGTCCTGACAATCCTGTAATCAAGTGCCATACCGGTGTACCAGTCAAAAACCTTCTGGCCAGATATTCTGAACATAAGAGGGCATGGTTCAGTCTAAGCCACATCCTCCCCCTCTGGATGTCAGGTATACTGAACATAAGAGGGCATGGTTCAGTCTAGGCCACATCCTCCCCCCTGGATATCAGGTATACTGAACATAAGAGGGCATGGTTCAGTCTAGGCCACATCCTCCCCCTCTGGATGTCAGTTATACTGAACATAAGAGGGCATGGTTCAGTCTAGGCCACATCCTCCCCCCCTGGATGTCAGGTATACTGTACATAAGAGGGCATGGTTCAGTCTAGGCCACATCCTCCCCCGCTGGATGTCAGGTATACTGTACATAAGAGGGCATGGTTCAGTCTAGGCCACATCCTCCCCCGCTGGATGTCAGGTATACTGTACATAAGAGGGCATGGTTCAGTCGAGGCCACATCCTCCCCACCTGGATGTCAGGTATACTGTACATAAGAGGGCATGGTTCAGTCTAGGCCACATCCTAGCCCTCTGGATGTCAGGTATACTGAACATAAGAGGGCATGGTTCAGTCTAGGCCAGATCCTCCCCCTCTGGATGTCAGGTACACTGTACATAAGAGAGGACATGGTTCAGTCTAGGCCACATCCTCCCCCCTGGATGTCAGGTATACTGTACATAATAGGGCATGGTTCAGTCTAGACCACATTCTCCCCCTCTGGATGTCAGGTATACTGTACCTAAGAGCGCATGGTTCAGCCTAGGCCAAATCCTCCCCCTCTGAATGGCAGGTATACTGAACATAAGAGGGCATGGTTCAGTCTAGGCCACATCCTCCCCCCTGGATATCAGGTATACTGAACATAAGAGAGGGCATGGTTCAGTCTAGGCCAGATCCTCCCCCTCTGGATGTCAGGTATACTGAACATAAGAGGGCATGGTTCAGTCTAGGCCACATCCTCCCCCCTGGATGTCAGGTATACTGTACATAAGAGGGCATGGTTCAGTCTAGGCCAGATCCTCCCCCTCTGGATGTCAGGTATACTGAACATAAGAGGGCATGGTTCAGTCTAGGCCAGATCCTCCCCCTCTGGATGTCAGGTATACTGAACATAAGAGGGCATGGTTCAGTCGAGGCCACATCCTCCCCCGCTGGATGTCAGGTATACTGTACATAAGAGGGCATGGTTCAGTCTAGGCCAGATCCTCCCCCCTGGATATCATGTATACTGTACATAAGAGGGCATGGTTCAGTCTAGGCCACATCCTACCCCCTGGATGTCAGGTATACTGACCATAAGAGGGCATGGTTCACTCTAGGCCACATCCTCCCCCCCTGGATGTCAGGTATACTGTACATAAGAGGGCATGGTTCAGTCTAGGCCACATCCTAGCCCTCTGGATGTCAGGTATACTGAACATAAGAGGGATGGTTCAGTCTAGGCCAGATCCTCCCCCTCTGGATGTCAGGTATAGTGAACATAAGAGGGCATTGTTCAGTCTAGGCCACATCCTCCCCCTCTGGATGTCAGGTATACTGAACATAAGAGGGCATGGTTCAGTCGAGGCCACATCCTCCCCCCCTGGATATCAGGTATACTGTACATAAGAGAGGGCATGGTTCAGTCTAGGCCACATCCTCCCCCCTGGATGTCAGGTATACTGTACATAAGAGGGCATGGTTCAGTCTAGGCCAGATCCTCCCCCTCTGGATGTCAGGTATACTGAACATAAGAGGGCATGGTTCAGTCTAGGCCACATCCTCCCCCGCTGGACGTCAGGTATACTGTACATAAGAGGGCATGCTTCAGTCTAGGCCAGATCCTCCCCCCTGGATATCAGGTATACTGTACATAAGAGGGCATGGTTCAGTCTAGGCCACATCCTACCCCCTGGATGTCAGGTATACTGACCATAAGAGGGCATGGTTCAGTCTAGGCCAGATCCTCCCCCCCCTGGATGTCAGGTATACTGTACATAAGAGGGCATGGTTCAGTCTAGGCCACATCCTAGCCCTCTGGATGTCAGGTATACTGAACATAAGAGGGATGGTTCAGTCTAGGCCAGATCCTCCCCCTCTGGATGTCAGGTATACTGAACATAAGAGGGCATTGTTCAGTCTAGGCCACATCCTCCCCCTCTGGATGTCAGGTATACTGAACATAAGAGGGCATGGTTCAGTCTAGGCCACATCCTCCCCCCTGGATATCAGGTATACTGAACATAACAGGGGGATGGTTCAGTCTAGGCCAGATCCTCCCCCCCTGGATGTCAGGTATACTGTACATAAGAGAGGGCATGGTTCAGCCTAGGCCACATCCTCCCCCCTGGATGTCAGGTATACTGTACATAAGAAGGGCATGGTTCAGTCTAGGCCACATCCTAGCCCTCTGGATGTCAGGTATACTGAACATAAGAGGGCATGGTTCAGTCTAGGCCACATCCTCCCCCGCTGGATGTCAGGTATAGTGAACATAAGAGGGCATGGTTCAGTCTAGGCCACATCCTCCCCCCCCCCCCCCTGGATGTCAGGTATACTGAACATAAGAGGGCATGGTTCAGTCTAGGCCACATCCTCCCCCGCTGGATGTCAGGTATACTGTACATAAGAGAGCATGGTTCAGTCTAGGCCAGATCCTCCCCCCCCTGGATGTCAGGTATACTGAACATAAGAGGGCATGGTTCAGTCTAGGCCACATCCTCCCCCTCTTGATGTCAGGTATACTGAACATAAGAGGGCATGGTTCAGTCTAGGCCAGATCCTACCCCCTGGATGTCAGGTATACTGTACATAAGAGGGCATGGTTCAGTCTAGGCCACATCCTCCCCCCCTGGATGTCAGGTATACTGTACATAAGAGGGCATGGTTCAGTCTAGGCCACATCCTACTCCCCCTGGATGTCAGGTATACTGAACATAAGAGGGCATGGTTCAGTCTAGGCCACATCCTAGCCCTCTGGATGTCAGGTATACTGTACATAAGAGGGCATGGTTCAGTCTAGGCCACATCCTCCCCCCCTGGATGTCAGGTATACTGTACATAAGAGGGCATGGTTCAGTCTAGGCCACATCCTACTCCCCCTGGATGTCAGGTATACTGTACATAAGAGGGCATGGTTCAGTCTAGGCCACATCCTCCCCCCTGGATATCAGGTATACTGAACATAAGAGAGGGCATGGTTCAGTCTAGGCCAGATCCTCCCCCTCTGGATGTCAGGTATACTGTACATAAGAGGGCATGGTTCAGTCTAGGCCATATCCTCCCCCTCTGGATGTCAGGTATACTGTACATAAGAGGGCATGGTTCAGTCTAGGCCACATCCTACTCCCCCTGGATGTCAGGTATACTGTACATAAGAGGGCATGGTTCAGTCTAGGCCACATCCTCCCCCCTGGATATCAGGTATACTGAACATAAGAGAGGGCATGGTTCAGTCTAGGCCAGATCCTCCCCCTCTGGATGTCAGGTATACTGAACATAAGAGGGCATGGTTCAGTCTAGGCCAGATCCTCCCCCTCTGGATGTCAGGTATACTGAACATAAGAGGGCATGGTTCAGTCTAGGCCACATCCTCCCCACTGGATGTCAGGTATACTGTACATAAGAGGGCATGGTTCAGTCTAGGCCAGATCCTCCCCCTCTGGATGTCAGGTATACTGAACATAAGAGGGCATGGTTCAGTCTAGGCCACATCCTCCCCCCCTGGATGTCAGGTATACTGAACATAAGAGGGCATGGTTCAGTCTAGGCCACATCCTAGCCCTCTGGATGTCAGGTATACTGTACATAAGAGGGCATGGTTCAGTCTAGGCCACATCCTCCCCCCCTGGATTTCAGGTATACTGTACATAAGAGGGCATGGTTCAGTCTAGGCCACATCCTACTCCCCCTGGATGTCAGGTATACTGTACATAAGAGGGCATGGTTCAGTCTAGGCCACATCCTTTCCCCCTGGATGTCAGGTATACTGTACATAAGAGGGCATGGTTCAGTCTAGGCCACATCCTTCCCCCTCTGGATGTCAGGTATACTGTACATAAGAGGGCATGGTTCAGTCTAGGCCACATCCTAGCCCTCTGGATGTCAGGTATACTGTACATAAGAGGGCATGGTTCAGTCTAGGCCACATCCTCCCCCCCTGGATGTCAGGTATACTGTACATAAGAGGGCATGGTTCAGTCTAGGCCACATCCTAGCCCTCTGGATGTCAGGTATACTGAACATAAGAGGGGGATGGTTCAGTCTAGGCCACATCCTACCCCCCTGGATGTCAGGTATACTGTACATAAGAGGGCATGGTTCAGTCTAGGCCACATCCTCCCCCGCTGGATGTCAGGTATACTGTACATAAGAGGGCATGGTTCAGTCTAGGCCACATCCTACTCCCCCTGGATGTCAGGTATACTGTACATAAGAGGGCATGGTTCAGTCTAGGCCACATCCTACTCCCCGTGGATGTCAGGTATACTGAACATATAGCATGAATTTGATTTTAATATTTTGGGGTCCAAAAAGGGAGTGAAATATCAAGTGAATGACCAAACAAAATTACCTAAAATATTTCAAAATGAATATAAAGTATCCAAAAATATATATACACATGATGAAATATGGTTTCCCTGAAGACATCCTAAAGTGGAGAGAAAAAGCCTTAACAGCAGGGAAAGATCTGGCCTTTGTTGAACCTTCCCCACCTGAATCCATCAGAGATGAGGAGGTTAGGCCAGGGTGGGGAAAAAAGAAGGGACAACATCTGGACTATGCTGAACCTCAATTCACAGGGGGAAGGTCCGGCCAGGGATGAGGAAGAAGAACTGGCCTAGGCTATAACTTCCCCGGGGAAAAACTGGCCAGGGGATATTTCAGCCTGTTACACCAGTACTTTCTTGAGTATAGTGCACACATTTTTCTAAAAAACACAGCTGTGTAGAAGGGACCATAATGAGTTTTGATGTATTTTTACCCCAACGCAAAGACATTACCGTGAGCACGTAACACCGAAATACCATGTCAACAAATCCGTATGGGAAAACACAATGTAATCTTGTAATTACACTGTCTGGTTATAAAAAGTGTTCATTGTATATCTGTACTTATATTTCTAACTTATTTCATTAATTTTATTAAAAATTTCTTTTTTATATTGTTTTAATAAATTTCAGCGAAACCGTGTGTGAAGCCATCGAAAGATCCCACAACTCACCGTTATTTACTGCAACCACTGTCAGACTACCGCTATTGGCGCCTTGAAATGAACTTAAGTTGACAGAAAATGGATACATATATCATAAATGCCATATTTTGACTCATTAAAAGTCATATTTGTTGTAGTTTGACGATTCTATGTCAACATATAGTTCTCGCGATCACGTGCGCGGGAGCCTCGAAGGTGACTGGTCAAATTGTTCCATGTGAAAAAAAAATAACCGGCAATACCACACACAATACTGGTCACAAAGAGCAGCCATGACAGTAAAACACTGAAATTTTTCATTTATCTGAATGTGCAAAAGAGTGAGGGAGTGAGTGAGTGAGTTGGGTTTATCGCCGCTTTTAACAGTATTCCAGTTATATCACGGCGTGTCAGCTTAATGTGGGAGTAAAAGACTGAAGTGATGCAGGTCTCAGACGTTTACCATTTCGGTGAAACCCACGAGCACAGGTATGGTGCTGACAAACCTAGAAACATAATCGGGGCGAACCGGGATTGGAACCCAAGACCATAGGTTTCTGGCGTGCCCAAGGGACGCAACTCTGCACAGCGAATCGCGGCGCCTTAGACGACTGGGCCACCCGTGCCCCCGAATGTGCAAAAGAACATCTTCAACAACAAGTTACAGATGTCATAAAAATGTTATGCGGTCCAAATGAAATTATGGGTTGGTCAAATTCCAGAAACACAAGTTGTTGCTATTGCCTGGATGAATTACATATCTATATCTATGTAAGAAAGATTTGGGAGAAACTGTACATTTGGATAAAAACCATTGTGGAAGGAACCATTGATTTGAACAGAACAATGTTTTGTTTGGATTTCAAGGCAAACATAACAACCCATTGAATAGGGTATAATGTACTTTTAATAACAAAACATGTAATATACAGACAATGTAGGGAAAGATTAATGCCACATTTTGAACAAATACAGCATGAGATAATTAGTTATTACAATGCTACAAAGGTAATGTCATTTACAATTTGTAACTATGCAAACCTTTTTTAGTTTCTGGTCTTCCTTCGACACTTTGTTTAAAAACCAATCTGTAATACGTACTGATGCAGTACGTTGACTTTATAGGCAAGAATTTATATGTATGAATAGCTGTACACTTCTTGAATACCATGTACCCCAATTGTGTTGACAGGACATGTATATATAATATGGTGCACCTGCTGAGATGAATAAAGAAGGGAAGAAAAAAAAATATCTATATATATTTTTTAAAGATTTACACCTGTATGTCCCACCTACCTTTGTATGTTCCCCCGAGGGAAGCATGTTGACTGACATCGATCTGTCCTTGTTGGTCTGCAAGGAAATGGCCACATGAGCTGAAGACTGCCTTTCCTTCTTCCACCCATGCCTGTACTGTCACTCGCTGTAATGGACGAAGACTGTTGGCTGTGATGGAGATCCTCTCATCTACCAGCGCCACACGGGGGCTGATATTGAGACAAGGTCTGCTGGGACATGTCTGGCCTCCGCTTGTAAATTGTCTCGCCATCAGTCTGGTGTAGGATCTGTGCAACACTGTGGTGCAGGATCTGTGCAACACTTCTAGCATCAGACCTGTTACGAACCTACAATTGTACATATCAGTACTTCAAAAATCATATTTTGCAATTAATATTAGCTCACACTGCACAGGTAGCTGTCACTTCAGTGGTGGTTATTGTTATTTGAAACCTCTGATCCAGTCAGTTTGAGTATTATCCAAAGGCTGAGTAAATACTTGAATGAGAGATGTGAAAAGTTTTGTTACAACCTCCACAGATTAGGAGAATAGGTTCTTAGCTTTAAACGCTGTCATACGCTTCAGCAAATAACATAATAAACTGCTGCACATTTCATTACTGTTGCCATGGGAGAAGTCTGTGGTCTCCAACATGTGCAATGCACAATGGAATTGTATCTGATTTAGTAATATTACTAAATCATATTGAACTAAAATTATTACAAAATCAGAGCTCTTTTTTGCAAGTATGCCATTTGGAATGTAAGTGTGTCATAATCCAGGTCTGAAGTGGGGTGAAATGTATTTTGTGTAATAGGCACATGACAGCAAGAGATGAATCATTAGTTGAGTGACAAAAAAACATCCAACAAAGGATTAACCAAAAATATGTTGATTGAATTATCACTGTTATCTTGCTGAACTGAACTTTTATTTACACAAATTTTAGTCATTTTATAAATACATTGACAATGACATACACACTATACAATAAGCAATTCTCAGGTAGTTTGTGTTACCAGTCAAAATTATGTATGTGAGAATCAGACAATACCAAGATAGTGATTTCGCCACCATTACCATTATCGATGCTACTCCCAAAGATACCTACATTTCCTTATTACATGATGTGGTATGTTGATCAATGTGACGATATGCCCTTATGCTATCAATAAAAGTGACAAATGGCTGAAATTAAGGATTCCATTTGGATATAAATATTTTTATGTTGTAGGCCTAGATATATATTTTTAAATGTACATACTGGTCACCGACCACTTATGGCCATTTTTGAATGCTATTTCTGACATATTCCGTGAACAAAGTTGACTGTTAACTTTAATTTTTGTGAAACCTTTTCAGAGACACGAAAGCGCTAGTCTAGTAGACTGAAGTCCACCTGTGGCAAGTTGTGACCCCGCAACTACATCAGTGTTATGACTGTGGGTTGGTGGCCATGGTGTCCCCCAGCTTGTGCGCATGTTATAGGACATGCCCGGGGCTGCTTACTTACATCAATATATTCCTGCAGAAAACAGACACATAGCCACATCATATAATCATCGTGTTTATCTCACTTACTGCGGCCTGGCAGGCCTTCACGCCAATGTTGTCAAAGGGAGACAACTCCCAATCCGTTTGATATCCAGCCATTTAAAATGGGTCAATGTTATCACATTGGCTAATTATTCCATTATCGAAGGCCATACCTACATGTTATTGATGTAAATACAGTTGCTGATACGTCTGCGAGGTTTAGTTGATTTTGATAGCCCGGACAGCGTCGGACCAAACACTTGTGACAGAGATTTTCTTGAGAAAATACAATTAATGGGCTTCACTTTAACCAACGTAGTTGCTTTAAATATATGATGAACAATGATATTATAAAGTCGTACTTAGGAAGATATAATACTACTCTACAGGTGTAAACAAATTTGTTGATGCATATGGGGGCGGTCGGGTAGCCTAGTGGTTAAAGCGTTCGCTCGTCACGCCGAAGACCCGGGTTCGATTCCCGACATGGGTACAATGTGTGAAGCCCATTTCTGGTGTCCCCCGCCGTGATATTGCTGGAATATTGCTAAAAGCGGCGTAAAACCATACTCAGTCAGTTGATGCGTATGTGAGGTTTCTAAGATGTTTTTAACCGCCCGGGGCAATCTAAGTCGTATTGAACACAGGGCAAACACTTCTGATCATGCTGATAGAGGCAGGTTGTGTTGAGAATGTCGAGATAAAGTGTCTTCACTTAAACCGAAGTGTTTGCTTTAAATACGATGAACAGAGGCATTATACAGTGGTATTTGGGTAGATGTAATACTATCCTAAACTGTAGTAAAATATCAAGTGTTCAGTTCACTGCAATGAAAATTTCACTTTTCTCAACTTCAGAAAACTCAGTTTTTCACACTGAAGTATTATATAGTGAGATATAATATTTTGTGAAATACATTTAACTTCCACTGGAATGTTTCATGACAGAATCAGTATATGAAATTAAATATTAAATTGTATTTGTGGAAATATTTTATTAACCCAGACTCGTTTCACAATAAAAGAAATGAAACAAATTGAAATATACCACGCAACTATGCGAAGGACGAATCAAACCCGCGAAATGGCTGATGCGAACTGTTAGCCATAGAGTGAGTGAGTGAGTGCCGTTGTACAAAACAACCTTAGCGCTACGACTGCCGTAAGTCTATGTTAAGGTATGGGAGTTACGATCACCTTAGCGCTAAGATCGCTTTGTACAACGGCACCCTGGACTGTACAGCAGTGGCAGCAGAAAAATTGGCGAAGAGTTGTCTTCAGCGACCAGAGTAGGTGCCAGCTCTTCAGGTCTGATGGTAAACGGACGGCACGTTGTCGCGTCCAAAACGCGGAGACATATGGAGGTGGTAGTGTCATGGTCTGCTTAGGCATCTGCGGGAACCAGAAGAGAGATCTGGTCATCATCGACGGAAATCTCACTACACGTCGTTACATTGATGAGGTTGTGCGGCCTGTGGTACTGCCTTCCCTGCAACCACACCCAGGAACGCTTTTCAGCACGAATTTGGACATGTACACATCATTTTTCGTACTGTGGGATACGAATTTGGCAAGTTCTTTGGCTCTGCCATTGATGACCTACCCACAGTATGCGAACGATCTTCGTCATTCAGATACCATAGAAAGTTCAAGAGTTTCGTAAAAATGGTATATAACGAGAATGAGTGTGGTATATTATTTATTACCCACGTTAAATATTTATTTAAGTGTAAATACATACATAACAACTTTCGTTCGTTGACAGAAACCGGTTGCAAAATCTGGTTGCGCATGAATATTGATATATGCCCAAATATGGGCATTGTTGACATTTCTATGCATACGCATTAACAACATGCGCCTGCAGTTGTGTTGTGCAAACATAACAGCAAGAACGCTCAAGATCCTTTTGGAAGAATGTTTAGTACTGAATGTATAACAAAATGTCGGTCAACATTTATCAGTGTCTTCTTTTCAAACCAGTTTAATATTTGCAGTTACATTTACACCACAAGATAGGAAATTTAATTTTCTACATCTCCACGTAATTGTATAGTCGGAGGTAGATCCTGTGCCGCGCGGACGCGATTCTCGGACAACGTTTAGTTTTCAGGCCTTATGGAATGAGCACATAAAATGTCTTTAAAACATTGCCGACGCGTTAGGAGTGAGTGAGTATGATTTTACCCAGCTTTTAGCACAATTCTAGCACTATCGCGGCGGGGGACACCAGAAATGGTGCCGAGTTGTTAAAGCGTTCGCTCGTCACACCAAAGACCCAGGTTCAATTCACCACATGGGTACAATGTGTGAAGCCCATTTCTAGTGTCCTTCACCGTGATATTGCTGTAGGTGAGGTGAAAAGGGGTTTAACATCGCAATCACGTGTGTGCGTGTCTGTACTAGTCTGGACTAATGTCCACCGAGACATTATATTGACTGACTCCCAGCTGACCAGGGCCTACTTGTACAAAACGATCTTAGCGCTAAGACTATTATAAGCCTATGTTAAAGTATGGGAGTTAAGATCATCTTAGCGCTAAGATCGCTTTGTGCAAGTGGGCTCAATTTTACTCTGGACCTTTCGGAAGCCTTTTGTTTTTATGTTCTTCTTGAAATTTCAAGATACTAAGTTCAAATTTCAAGATGCTATGTTGAAATTTCAAGATACAAGAATTTTGATATTTCAATATTTTTTTAGAAAAACAAGTGGCCCTAAAAGGCTTCTGTACTAGACACTACAACAAGGAAATTGTGCAGCACCTGGAACTGGATAATCGATCTGTGAATTCGGATGGGGGTAGTCAATTTTACAAAAGCAGTCCTCACTGTGTGTTGTTTATGTGCATTTCGATATTCACGTCAATAATGTTTCGTGTTACTCGGAAGTCGCGGGGTTCCAGAAACGTAGTTATCACGACAGAGAACATGATGTATACAGTTGTGAAGGAGGCCTAAGTGGGGTTGCTACATGTATTATAATGTTGGATACTAGGCAGTATATGATTAACCAATATTTAGTCAGGTGCCGTTTTATGGCCGCCATTGTGTTAGGTTTTCGATTGTAAGCATCCGATATAGCGTGTGCATAGCCTACTTTTATACAAACCAATAACAGTTATCCACATTTCTTCCGTGTTATTTCTGAAATATATTACTCAAAGTGTACAATACTACTACCTTTGATTTTTTGTGAAACTATGAACAGTTTCGCTAATTTCAGTCCGTGGAAAAAAGGCGAATCAAAACATTGGAAATATTTTCCTGTCGACTTACTATAGGCATCGAGTTGTTGCCATAATCAAAAGCGCAAAATTAGGTTATGTTTAGGGTGGCTCCCGTCAAGGAGACCCATTGGCCCCATATCGGTTTGTTATTTGTGTAGAAGTGTTAGCTATTGTGGTAAAATCGAATGAACGTATAAAGGGAGTTGATGTCAGTGAAAAAGAATGTTATATTTAAGTATGCAGATGAAACATATTTCACTTAAAATGGATCTGAAAATTGACCCATGAATCAGAAGCTATCATAAAAAAGTTATGCCGCCAAACTATCCATTGTGACAAAACAACTGCGGTTGGTATGGATAATAAACAAATTCCGATAGACACCTTTGTCCACACATATGTGAATCTTTTACTGTACTTTTACATTGAAATATTGTTGATTTTCACTTTATTCTATGGCATAGCTACTAAAAAACTTTTAAAGAGAACATAATAACAGATCAACATTACAGGATTCAGTGACATACAGCAATACAATTCACCCCATAAATAACAAACACATGAAGTACAATAAATACAAACCTATTTTCATTTTGGTGTGTAATAACAACACTGTATTATTCACTGATAAATGACTACAATTTTCAGGATACAAATTGCTTCTCAAAGTGTATATTGGGTAAAAATGTTAGAAAATTGAAAATGTTATCTTCAATACTAAATAACAAATGTTTTAACCAGGGGAGATAAACTGGGCGGCAAAAGAAAGCATAGGTCGGGTTCCATAATCGATAAAAAAAATAACAAGAAGAGGTTTTGTTGTGAATTATAATATCATCTAGGGAGGGGTAACAAATGATTGATCAACCACAGTTTGAATGAAATTGTGCATTCACAGGTAATGTAAGCTCAAGGTAAACAATGGTGGGGTAAGAAATTTCATTTTCAAAAGCTGTCTCAAATGTCACCAAAAAATTGTCAGGCACACTACAAGTTCATTGTTGACACAGTTGCCTTCAATAGCGTGTATGACCTCCAGTTGCCCAATGCATGCTGTGATACGCTGCCTCACCGATGACGTCAGTCTTCTTATGACATGGACTGGAATCCGTTGCCACTCGTCTCTCAAGACCTGCTGCAATTCTTGTCTGTTGACGGAAGGCTGACGGTGTGCTCTAATCTGTCTGCGAAGATGCGAGGGTGAGATTCTCTATTTATCAGAAGATATAGAGAATCTCACCCGAGTGTCTTTTGATTTTAAATATATCAACACAAGTTGAGAAAAGTGGAAAAGTTCCGAGGCTTGTCGAGGATTTTTGCCACTTTTATCGAGTGTTGATATATTTGATATCAAAAGACACTCGGGTGAGATTTTATTTATCATCCAACATCATTCTTCCAACTTTTTCAATTTGTAGACAGTAATTAGCAGTGTCTTCATATCAGTGTAAAAAGTACTGCTGACAGCTTCAGTAGCAGAGCCATAAGTGATGTCATTTGATTGTGACGTCATGTAACCAGTGACGTCACAATTGTCTGCAAAGCATTGTGATGTCATTTCATTGCAGCGATATCTACAGTGTAGATATCGCTTGATCTAATCCAAGCGATATCTCCTGTGGGAGCCAGTTTGGGATGATAAAATCATATAAAAATTAAAATTGGGAGAATAAGAAAAAGATGAACAAATTATGCTATGTTCTCAGTGATAAAAACTAACATTTTCTCCTCTTGTGTGGAGAGGGGAATTGCGCAGTTGTAACGACGGTTTCATGTATTAGATAGGGAAATCAGACTTTCCCCGCAGAAGTCATGCAAGGTATAGAAATAATAAAAATGTTTTTTTTCTCTTTTAAGTCAATTTCAGTTAAAAAAAACAGAGAGTCTCAATAGACTTACACTTTAATAGAATAATTTGTTTTTCACAATAATTATTGTCAGGACTAGATATACTGTTGGTCGATAATTAACAAACACAATACAGTGAACATTGATTTTTATTCAATGAAGACAGAAACATTTTATAAATATGACATCAAATTCACTCACTCACCCACTCAGCCCGTGAAGATCCGGGGTAGAATAGGTCTTCAGCAACCCATGCTTGCCCTAAAAGGCAACTGCTTGTCTTAAGAGGCCACTTACGGGATTGGGTGGTCAGGCTCACTGACTTGGTTGATGGCATCATATCCTAATTGCGTGGATAGATGCTCATGATGTCAATCACTTGAATGTCTGGTCCAGATTCGATCATTTACAGACCACCGTCATATAGCTGGAATATTGCCGAGTGCGGAGTTAAACAACAAATCAAACCAAAAACTCACTCACTGTCATGTGTACTTGTAGTGATTGAGTTAAAATTTAACGTCACATCGGAAATATTTCAGCCATATTGTGACGAGAGCATTAATAACATTTGAATTTAGATGAATAAGAACCTGTCATCGACGGAATGTGTACTTGTAAACAAAGTCAATGCGATTTCCAAATTGGTATTCTGTATCTGTATTGATGTTCAGTATTCATTATCTTTTGACATATTTTATATCTTGCTTAAAAAATGTTTAGGCAAACATATCTGAGCTCAAACAGTACATAGTGACATATTTGAAATGCAGACCATACACTTCACTCTTTGTCAAATTCAACACATTCAAATATTTGAGTAGTGGCCCAAAAAATCTATATGGCAACCAAATTAAATTGACAATAATGCCAGGCTCAAATAATCAAATTGTCAGCTTAGTGAAGGCGGTGTTTTGGAAATGCCTCATCAACAGATTAATGGCTGTAAACCATGGTCTTGGAAACATTTCACAAGCAACATGCCTTGGAAGTGTGACTGCATTATCCCTGGAAAATATGGCAAACAAATGTGAACATGCTTCATCACCGATCTTAATTGGAACAACTTCAATTTAACTGACACACTTAGAAATAGGTTTGATTTGCATCTTAAATGACACCATTTTACCTTTACACATATTCATCTAGTTTGTAAATTTTCTTTTTTAGATATTTTTTTTTTAATTTTAAACATTCAATTTCTAATAAAAGTTTTTCTTTGTTTAATTCTTCCATATATGGCTGTTGCTGTTGCTGTTGCTGGCACTGGCAAGTCGTCCTCTCCGGCAGGTGGAATGCATTGGCCATGTCCTCAACATCACCGCTGACCAGGGTTGGTCTGTAACAAATGAGAATATGTTTTTTAAAATATCATATAGAAAGAACTTTATAATAAACATATATAGAATGTAAAACGTGTAACAGACCCTATGTTTTATAATGTTGTTCCTTTTAACATTGAAAGACGGAAAAACTTTCTATGTCCGTGAAAATATGAATTGTGCTTCAAAAAACTTGATTTATGTCATACAATGTGCTGGATGTTAGGTCAAATACATTGGACAGACAGGGGACACCCTAAGAGCGAGAGTGAGTGTCCACCGACAACAAATAAGGGACCCCTCTTGTCTGTGTATCCCACTCAGTCAACACATTGATCAGTGTGCCGGGAATAAAACACCAAATTTTGTGATATTCCCGTTTTACAAATGTGACAATGATGCACTGAGAAAGATAGAAGAAAGTTATTTCATTAATACTTTCAAACCAAAATTAAATGGCCTGAAATAATTGAATTATTTTATACAATTACATATATTGTACATTTTACTGCCACTACAATACTTATTTCTGAATGTGTCATACGCCTGCCCTATCGTCTTATGCCTGTCTTATTGTGACGTCACAAAGTTAGATTGCACTATGACGTCATACTATGTTAGAGTGCACTGTGACATCAAAACAGCGTAACTGTATAACTGTACTCTTGAAAATCACATGCTGGTTGAGTAAATTATACAGCTCATCTTTGGACTTTTGTATCTCTCTCTCTCTCTTTCTCTCTGTGATATATTTTTATTATATATAACATAAACACAGAGTGAACATTTACCTCATTTGTATATATTATGGGCAATTAAATCCTGGAAAAATATATCTGTCGTACGCGTATATAAACATTTCAGTCTGTCAGCATTAACCACGAAATTTATCTTTCAACTGTTTTTTTCCACTAAAATCCCGTGCGACACGACCCCAGTGACCTAATCACCTGACATATCCAGCACCCTCATTCTCACTCTAGATTGAAAGGGCTGGTGTAACCATGATTCGGGGATGGTTGGGTGGGCATGAAGCGTGTGAGATAGGATAAGTATATAAATATACAATTTATTAGAAAATGTATAAATTTTTAAACTTATCCTATCTCACACTATGCAGTTATCCCACGGTTGGATGGTGGGGCGCAGATACAAATGATTTTAGAAGGATTAGTGATAAACTCGTTAAAGGGTTGCTTCAAAAAACCCTCTTTGTGCTACCAAGAGATATACATCATGACATTGGGGAATCATGTGTTCCTTGGTTTCACACAGGACGCGGTTCCAAGAATGACCGCGTAACCATAAGCCAGGCGACACCTACTCGGTCACGACTTAACCTCACCCCGGATAGGAGAAGGTGTTTCAAACACCCTGTACGCGGCATAGGTTCTACAAGACAGACCTCACACATACGGTCCCAAGGACGTAAGGCGGAGGACCAGCTTGAATAAGGTAAGAACGAGAAGAGGAAACGATTGACGATACCCGTTTATCACACAGGTCTTCAATCAAGTTCTGAGACATCACATGCGTAAAGACAGAGGTGAACAGGTAGAAGATCGGGGCACCATTTAAACAAATAGCAGCACCAGATGGTGACTTCTGTTGGTGTAGACCCGTTTATCACACAGGTCGTCGATCAACTGCTGAGACATCACATGCGCAAAGACAGAGGTGAGCAGGTAGAAGATTGGGACACCATTTAACACCTGGCCGCACCGGATGGTGACTTCTATTGACGTAGACAGAAGTCACAACCGACAAGCATATATACCCTCCCAATGGGAGCTTGTCTGGGAAACCTGATTAACATAAGCAATAAATGAAAATATTGCAGTATATACAGGAAACCAGACTTGGGACTTTTAGTCCGCTGGGCTTCCTCATCTGCGCTGTGTGGCTGCTGTGACCTTGGACGTCGGCAACTGAGATTCCGAAAGGAGTAGGAGGCAAAGACCATATCAGAACGCCTCAACATCCCTCCATGATGGCTGAAAGTGTGCAATACTATGCAACGCCAAGGTGGAAGTCACTGCCCTCGTCTCATGAGGATTGGAAGCAGCTTGGGTGGTAGTCCCTCAAAGGTGTAGACCCTGAGGATGATAGAACGCAGCCAGTGGAGATGGTTGTTCAAGTTACATCAGAGGTTGCAGCCGTCGACAAGTGGATGAAAACATGCTTGCGACAGCGACGGATGGTCTGAGATGCCTTCAAGTAGATCTTGTAGGATCAGGCTGGACAAAGTGAGACGTCTTCCATGACATCAGCTCTCAATCAATGAGAGTGGTGGAGGCGGAAAATACGATCCGGTTGTCCTTGAAACGGCGGGGGACACCAGAAATGGGCTGTCTTTGGCATGGCGAGCTAACGCTTTAACCACTAGGCTACCCGACCGCCCCTTAAGACACTGGAACTGGACTCAACCGACGTCTAAGCACGAGTCCCTCTAACACGAGCTGCAGGAGCCAAAGCAAGCAGGAAGATCGTCAGGTGCATTCCAGCATCGATACGACGACAAAAGGCGTTGTGAAGATGTGACAGACCGTATGTATAGTCATTGACTACTACTGTAAATGCTTCGCACGGCTAGCATGAGGTCAGCCTGTACCAAAGTCAGCATGGTAGTCTTGTTTACAAACAGCAATCTCGGCGTGATGTGTAATTCACTCTTGTGCAGAAACAGGAAATACAGTAGTCTTTCTGATCACGTGGTCAAAAGCTCCCATCACACAAGCGGTGTCTCGAGTAACGAAAAACACTGGTGTATAGGCAGTAAGTTCCTTGTAGAATATGGGACGAAAACTGGTGTAGTACCTAGGTGAGCCTCGTATGACGCTTGAAACCATCTTCAGACATCGTTTGTATCGATGGAAGACCGACGATCTCCCCCGTCGTGTGTGACATTTCAATTCTGTCATAACCTTGTAATTGTGATTTCTCATAGGAGAGTATTGTAAGACGATTCATGACTGGCAGGCACCTGTACCGGATCCATGAAGATCCCGGTAGAGAGGAGACGTCAGTATCTCAAGCTCCCCATATGAGGTGATTATGCCTGTAAGAGACCGATTGGTCAAGTTCACTGATAGGGTTGGTGCAGGTCATCGTATCCCAAGACGAAGACGGATGCTCGTGATGACAATCATTGGATTGTCTGATCTAGACAACTGAATGCAGTGAAGGCCTTGTCCAAATTCGCGTATAGAAGACTATGCACGATGAGAGGGAGGTCAATTGATTCCGTGGAAGAATGAAGTTCTTATGACTGAGGAAGATCCGTCGTTCGTCTGTATTATAAAACAAAGTCATATCTGGAATAAAATCATCTTCTCAGTAAAGTACATGATCGTACTTTATGGGGTTGAGTCCCGTCCGGGATTCGAACCCACACTGCCAGAGTAAGGGACCTAGTCGCCAGCACACAAAGTCAGCGCTCTTACCCACTCAGCCACCGAGGCTTCCTGCAGGTGAAGTCGTATCAGCGGACGAATTCTTGATCGGACGATGTGTCGATGTATCCATGTGTCGATGTATCGAATTATCCATGTGTCGATGTATCAATGTATATCGTAGAGTCGAGATCCCTCAGTATCAATCTGCAGGAGAGGCCAAACTCTGAGGTACAATCTGACGGACTGTCCATCCAACATCAGCGTCTTGTCGATAATGGTGAAGTATGTCAATAATGGTGAAGTATGTCGATAATGGTGAAGTAAGGCGATCTGTCAATCTGTCGATCCCTCGGTCGTCTATGATCCCTTGATCACTCGGTCATTACGATCCAGCGAAGGATGACGATCCTGTGAGTGAAGATCTGTCGTCTGTTGGCTATCACTTCCTCGCCGATGATTGTAGTGTTTTCGGTCAGAAGGGTTGTCACCATTAGAAAGCCGGAGAGGTGTAGCTGTATCCTCCGAGCGCTGTAGAAGTGATGACCCGAGTAACAAGCGTGTTGGGGGAAGAGGCAACCCTCAGTTGATGGCTTGACTTCCCAAGCTGAGTAAAGGGCTGTAGTCCAACACGATGAACTGGCCATTTAAATGCGGAACGACTGTAGAAGCCAGGGAGCTGGCACGTGCACAGGGGCGTGGTTCGCACAGAGACGGGAATCTCAGCAGTCAAACAAGACGGAAAGCGACCTCCTCTACGGATAGTGATGTAACCATTGTTGACTATAATATTTTGTTAAGCAAGAAAATGAAGGTACAGCCACAGGGGATAACACAATTGATTGGGTTTCAAAGCGGAGGAAAAACAACATGCACGAAAACCATAAACAACGCCTTGAACCGACGAACAGTCGCATTTATCGAACACTAAGCTAAGTAAGTTGAGATCCAATTCTGGCAAGGTTGTACACAGTAGACATCGTTATTAATACCACTCTCTCTTCATGGTAATGGTAAACTTAAGTACTGGTGTCGTGTATTTAAATTTTATATATAAAAAAAAAAAACCAAAAAAAACAACAAAACAAACAAAAATTAGTGGTGCGTGAACCATGATCACAGTGGTAATTTGGTGATGTATGGGATGCGTTTGGGTGAGTGGTGTTTTTTTAAGCTGGAAACTTTGTTCTAGGACATTTCCACATCAAGATCGAAGAATAAGAAGAAATGCATAGTGTGAGATAGGATATGTTTAAAAATATATATATAAAAAAATATATATTATTTGTGTATTGTGTTTATACAGAGACTTGTCAGTACTTGCAAATTGACTGCCTGTGGCAGGCACATTGGGAAAAAATTATACTTTAAATTTTGATTTCTTAAATATATTTTGGAATGTTTATGTATGTAATAAAGCTGGCAAACATGAAATACTAAGTGATGCAGTAATTTTAGTACAATATCAAAATGATTAACATTAACATTTATGTCATTTGTACCTTTTCTTTGATCTCATGACATCAAGCAGTTGTAGGGCTGTCGAATCACAGAAGTCGGATATTTCTGTCAAAGACATGTTGTCCCTCCCTATGGCCTCTGCAACTGCATCTGTGACAGGACTTACAGGGATGGGAGGTGGTCCGCCTTCTGTAAGTGCAAGAGGCAGTATAGATTATAGTGTGAATGGTGTTATAGTATTTAGAAACATATCACAAAACCAACAAAACATAGAGAAAAGTGCTCCTTTTACCTTTAAACATTGAGATAGGTTTGTGTTGGTATATTTATACTCAAAATATACTGCAACACGTTGCAATGTAGGTCTCAATAATAACTGTGAAGGAACTAAAATATCACATTTTCCACTTTCACATTAACTATATCCTTTTAGGTCACCTTTTTTTTATCAAAACTGTTTAATAACTAAACTAATGTAGCCATTAGTTTGTTTACCAGTGGCAATGGTTTGCTGCCTGAAATTCGAAAAAGTTTGCTTCGACTGGCTCTTCAGGTTTTTCCATTTCTTTCTAACCTCCTCCTTGGTCCTCTTGTGCGTTTTGCCTTTATTGAGGGTGTTTGTAATCTTCTGCAATGTAAACATAACAACTCAAATGAAAAACACATCAAATTACATTAATATTTTTTGTCAGTATTAAATCATGCCATATCCACATTGTACAATGCACACAGTTTTAAGACTTAATTTCTGTCCTAGTCTTTTCCTAAGTGGTATTAACACTCAAGTTGATTTCTGAAATAAAGTACTGATTGAAATGAGATATCTCTATTTATAAATATGAGACCAAATATTCAGGATGTTTTAAGTGTTTTAATAGTTTTTATGCCAATTGAAATATAAAAATTGAAGTGAATTATGTATTGTGATACATATTGTATCAGGAGTGAGTGAGCATGGTGAGTGAGTATGGTTTTACGCTGCTTTTAGCAATATTCCAGCAATATCACGGTCGGTGACATCAGAAATTGGCTTCATACATAAATAGTGTACCCATGTTGGGAATCGAACCCGGGTCTTCAGCTCGACATATTGTATCATGAACTGCGTATTGCCATATGTATCATATTTCGTATCCAAAGCAAACAAGTGATTACAACCCAAAATCCTAGGCGATTGTGTTCCCAAGAAAATAATATAAATACATATTTCAGTATATTGTCATGTATATTTAACATCAATATTGTAAACAAGAGTATATGTGCATAACATAATAACACATTTCATCACGTTCATATTGTGACTATGCAGCACCAGATCGAGATGTATGAGATCCATCACAATATATTTATTACTAATAAATGCATAGGAACTCATTGGTCTTGATAAGAAAATGACATCTTGTCACTGTAATAAGATGCTTGTTAAATTAGTTAAACTTAAGTTAATTGTACGCTTTTGACATGAAAGTGATAGTAATGTAACTTTAGGATACTAACATCAGGCCTTAGACTAATGAATGCCTCAGAAACCGATCCAAATGCCAAAATGAGTACAAAATGACATAGATCTAGGCTACTACTTTGGGGTCAAAATCACTGGAAATTTTGAGTAACCATTGTTTGGGGTACAACATCACTGTATAAACTACACGACAGACAATAGGCATACCATGATGAAGATAAAAACAATAATGCAATTTGAGAAAAAGGAAAATAATTGTTTGGGTCTCAATGTCTAAATATGACCAAACTGTATTATTCCCGTGGTACTGGACTGGACGAAGAATCAATCAAGAATCAAAATTTTTTATTGTACGGAACACCCTCGTAGGGCAGGGTACAAACTAACTACATATGGAATAAATATAACTATCGACATGAGAGGTATATATACATAATGTACATTATATATATAAATATTACATATTATTTCATTCATAGTGTTTAAACATTTATATATATATATCATGAGGTGGCTGGCAGCGTGCACTTTAATAATGCTGATACTGTACAGATAAGACATACTAATCATAAGGTCATATCTTGATGTTGTCTATAAGACAGGTTCTTTTAATAAACATGTCGGAGATAGTTTGTGAAACATATTTTGCACTTTCTGGACAGGGGTTCAGGATATTTGCTAGGATTTTATTATCATTTTGGCAGATTTGGAGGTCTAGTGTTCGAAGAAGTATCTGCCTTTCGTTCTGATAATTTGGACAGTACAAAAGGAAGTGTTTCTCATCTTCTATCTTATTTAGGTTACATACGAAGTGTATTGATCATGTTGATGGAAGGTTGGAAAACGTCTTGGTTATTATTCGAGCACATGCATTCATAGCTGCACACCTTGTATGCTACTTATGTACATGCAAATTTAATGATGACAGAAGCCAAACCTCTCAAAACCGATGAAGACAACACTCACCTCCGCGGAACTTAGACCACGTACCTGCCATGTCTGTCGTCGCTGCCAGGCGGTTACGCCGGGGCCCAGCTTTCCCTCAAGAATGACGCTGTTTGCTGCCACCAGCCCTGAAAGTAACAACTGTTCTTCTTGGGTAAAGTTTGGCTGTCTCTTTTTCGTGTCTTTGGTCATTTTGTCGGCCTATCTTGGAGCTCGCCGCGTTTATTATGGTCTGCGCTTTCCGGGATTTCACGATGACGTTTTTCTCTCTCTTAGTGAAAAGAGTTCCACCGGTAGGCTAAAAATAGCTGAGATACGCCTTAGTGATCACCTGATTGCATTCGGTGAAGTCGACTCAGTTTCTAACGACAGACTTAGCTAAGTTTTTTACTTAGACGCTTCGTGAATATCAACTTAATTTTTTACTTGGCTAAGTCAATTTTCAGAAACTTAAGTTTTTTCTTAAGTCAAAACCATGTTGTTTTATACGGCCCCAGATTTAAATTTGTCAATGCCAGAGAATCAGGCTCGACTACAAGACGTAATGGGCAACACAGCAGTGGAAATTGCACAATATGCGTAAAACAAGTGAAAGTGCTTGTTTGTTGATGTTGGGCACAAATGGGATATCTCTTCGGGAAATCACTTGCTGAAGAATAAAGCACATTGAACAGTATGACATGTCATAAACTCACTTTTATGTCGCTTGACCTAGATAAATATGAGTCGTCATGATTTTACTCAACATATGTTCCTGTTCACATGTGCATCTCAGGGCAACATGATATATGTTTCATGTTTGTGGGGATGGGGTAGCCTAGTGGTTAAAGCGTTTGCTCGTCACGCTGAAGGCCCGGGTTCAATTCCCCACATGGGTTCAATGTGTGAAGCCAATTTCTAGTGCAAGTATACTGAACCAAATTAAAAACTTCACAATCCGAAAATTTTAACATTTTGACCAGTTATCATTGTGGGCCCTTATTGTGTTTTTAAACAGTAATGGCCACGTATTGTCTGCAGATAACACCCGTTTTTGTGCAGGTGAATCGATCAAAATCATGTGCACAGCACTATAGTGGCAAAAGTGGTTTTCACGTGCATCTGGTCACGTGGCAATAATACCGCACGTGTTTTCAGCCATACTTGTTAGCAGTCATTAACAAAAAAAGAAAAACACAAGAAAACAAAAGTCTTTACGGCCATTTGTCATGCCACGCCTTTCAAATGTGCAACATGAACGTGCCATCGGCATGTTGCAGACGGGAACGTCCGTAGCTGAAGTCGCAAGGACGGTGAGTTGTAGTCGACGGACTGTTTATGATTTACAGACGCGTCTACAGCAAACGGGTACCACCGCTGATCGCCCTCGGCCAGGTCGACCACGTGTGGCGACATATGCAGAGGATCGTCAGATTGTCTTACGTCACCTCCGTTACCGATTTTTGACGGCTACATCAACCAAAAATGAACTGTTTAGGTGTAGACTGAGTGCGCAAACTGTTCGAAACTGTCTGAGAACTGCTCACCTTTACGCACGACGGCCATACCGCGGGCCGATTCTGACTCAATTACACAGACGTCAACGTCAGCGACACTTACGATGGACTCAGAGGAATTGTAATCAAGTCGTCTTCAGTGATGAATCCCGATTTAATCTTCGATTTGCTGATGGTAGGGCGGGGGTGTGGAGGCGCCGTCATGAACGTTACGCCCAGTGTTGTGTACAGGAAGTTGACATATTTCGAGGCGGTAGTGACATGGTGTGGGGTGCTTTCTGTGGCAATGCACGTTGTCATCCGTGGCAACCTCAACGCTGCTGCTTACCGCGACCAGGTACTGACACCAGAACTTCTGCCTTTTACGGCAGCACATGGACCCGGTTTGATCTTCCAACACGACAATGCCAGACCCCACACAACAATTTTGACAAGGAATTTTCCTTCAGAATGCGGGAGTCAACGTCATAGACTGGCCATCAAGGTCTCCCGACCTCAGTCCCATCGAACATGTCTGGGATGCTCTTGGCAGAAATCGGCACACTCTCCAGAACCAACCACAGAATTTGCAAGATCTTGGCACCATTTTGCAGCAACAATGGCGTCATCTTCCCAATCATGTGTTCACAAGCACCACAAGGTCCATGCGGAGGCGTTGTGTGGCAGTTGTCAACGCACATGGTGGCCATACACGCTACTGAACTTGTGTGCCATCATATTCTCGTGCTTGGAACTTATTATTTAAACTGTTGATGTTATTACCGAATACCGTAGGTGCTTGGAACAAATTATGGTTACCACTGTTAATTCACATCCTTCTTTGGACATTAATGATTAAAAATTACCTTCTCTGATACATTTGTCCGTTGTATATCATATATGGGATTACTTTTAAAAATGTGAAGTTTTTAATTTGACTCAGTATATATTGCTAAAATGGCGTTAAACCATACTCACACGCATACTATACAAAGCATGGCGGTGATAGGATCCCGGTGTGACAGCCTGTTTGGGAGAAGAAATAAATCGCCATGACTCATTGTCATGCAACAGCTGAGCGTTAAGCTTTAGTATTGGTGATGAAACTCACTCAGGCTCGTTAGATAACACGAGGAAGGAGTTCATAGCCGTCACTTAACACAAGAAAGATTTTCTCAGGTAAATTCCAAGTTACACGCTCTCTTATTCATTCAGAATGATATTAGTCAAAAACATCGAAGATGCACGCGCTTTTCACAAAGCAATATACAAATCATCAATTAGAAATGAAGTGAAATTTGCTTTTGTTGTCTCTGACAAATCGAGGAATTTTTGCATTGCTACAGTATTGTTCGGCATTGGGAATTGAAATAGGCTAATTCAGTTGTTTGGTGACTACCATATAATCTCTACTCACAATACATCCAATCTACCATTTTAATATTAATATATTAATCACAAGACAAACCTTTATTTTACATAAATCCTTGAACGTTTCGAAACGTTGACTTAAAATTCACAAAAACTGATTACTTAATGAGCGAATATTCGTCATTAGTTTCAAGCTTACAATCCACAGGATAACCTGACATATCCATCCCAAGATAAACGGGATTTCCATGAACACAACATAAAAATCATTAATTTGAAATAAAGTGGTATTTGCAGCTCCACCACCTTCTCTTTTTCTCATGCGCAAAACTGATACATTTTCATGTAAACCCGTCTTTGCCACCTGTGAGATACAGATATTTTGTAAATGTCTGCAACATAGTTTAGCATGTCACACAGGCTTTTCCCCGGGGACACGAGGTAGAATGTGCCGTAGCACCTTATTGCTGGTCGTAAGAGGCGACCGAACTGGGCAACCCGTTTGCCGTGGGTTGCGTCCCTGTGTCGGCGGTGGACGGGATTCTAGTGGTTAATGGCATTAGTTACAGGAATAGCGTTCCTTTGTCCAATACACTACCTCGACCCTTACCTCACCTAGACGGTTGGTAGGATCAATCCTATCAATCGGCTGGTCATGCCAAGCCCTGTGCCTAATAGTGTATACTCACACTGTGTTTTATTTTAATGTATATTTTGGTCTTGGCCAAGTTTAACTTGTCTGAATTCACACATTTCTGATGCAATAAGTTGCCTCGAGTTTTATGTCAGAAGGCGGTGGCTCATGGGACAATCTGGTGATGTGACCTCCTCATAATATCTCCAATTTCTTGTCAAGGGCAGAACCAGCCTGGCATTGAATTGGTAGATAAATATAGTTATTCGTGTCGTATTTGCTGGAGTACAACAACCCTGTATCCTTGGTGTTTGCATCCTGCATATCAGGTGCACTGTCCTTGTTGACCCTCCATGGTGGGTGGGGAGCAGGGTTGCTGAATAAGTTTCTTTCACCATGGCTCATAATCATCCTGGTTCAAAGCGTAGACCTTAAGAATCAAGCTCAACTGATGGGACTGTTGCAAATGTTGATTCCTGGGCTCGATTCCTTGTTATTTTTTGGTTTATTTGTTGTTACACACCGCACTCAGAAATATTCCAGTTATGACGGCGGTCTGTAAGTAATCGACTCTGGACCAGACAATCCAGTGAGTGACATGAACATCGATCCACGCAATTGGTTGGTTGGTTTGTTGTGTTACGCCGCACTCAGCAATATTCCAGCTATATGACGGCGGTCTGTTAATAATCGAGTCTGGACCAGACATTCCAGTGATCGACATCATGAGCATATATCCACGCAATTGGGTCGATGACGTGCATCAACCACGTCAGCGAGCCTGACCACCCGATCCTGTTAGTCGCCTTTTACAAGATTGGGTTGCTAAAGACCTATTCTACCCCGGATCGTCACGGATCGTGTCCACACGGTCCCAAGTACGGTGATTTCCCTTTAGTTACTGACGATCTCTAGCCCATTTGTATATTGTGTTGTTAACTAACACTTTCTGCTTTTAAATGTTCTCAACTAGTTCAAGATCGTCAAGGTCGAATATGTGATATTCTAGTTATTGTAGTGTCCATCGGTTTTATTTAGTCTATATATATATAATTACCGTATTTACTTCTCGTCACGATATGGCTGAAATATTGCGATGTGACGTTAAATATTAACCCACTCACTCACGCACCCAAACAGGCTTTTTCATTATCCAGACATCGACAGATGGGCCACATCTATAATCTTATCGATAACAAAGTGAACGCTATGTTAAATTTTTAAAACATTTTCAGAATAGGTTTTAACAAATAGTTGTAGATACAATTACAGGTCGTCAGAAAAGGCCAAACATATTCCAGCATGGTTTGTCTGAACATCAGTCCGGTAGTGGCACTAATCGACGAGAGAATCTCCATCACTGTCACTGGTATTCATCCACTGCAGAGAGTGACGGTCCAGGCATGGGCGGAAGAAGGAAAGGCAGTGTTCAGCTCATGTGCACATTTCATAGCAGACCAACAAGGACAGGTCGATATTACCCGACTTGCTTCTTTGGGAGGAACATACAGAGGTAAATAAGTGTAAACAACATCTCTGCACTAGACTCAATTAACACATTAACAGATTGTTATGATTTATATGTTCTGAGGAGTTATGGTTTTACGCTGCCTTTTGCAATATTCCAGTTACAACATGACAGGAAACAGAGTGAGTGAGTTGTGTTTAACGCCGCTTTTAACATTATCCCAGTCATATCACGGCGTGTCAGCTTAAAGTGGGAGGAAAGCCCGAAATGATGCAGGTCTTAGACGTTTACCACTTCCATGAAACTAACGAGCACGGGTATGGTGCTGACAAACCTAGAAACATAATAGGGGCGAACCGGGATTCGAACCCACAATCATAGTTTTCTGGCGTGCCCAAGGGACGCAACTCTGCACAGCGAATTGCGGCGCCTTAGACGGCTGGGCCCCCCGTGCCCCCCGACAGGAAACAGAAGAGAATGGCTTGGGATATTCAACACATTCAACAAGACAAATGAACCAGTAGGCTATATATCCACCACATTTTGACGAGATTCATATCTCACGTATATTTGCTGTAAGCTCTGTGAAATGTCTTTTCATATCAAGTATGGCAACCCTGAAGAAACACAGGACTAAATCTCTTCTGAAAGCTCGGGATATTTGCTGTTCAATGACCCTGTCATGTTTTCATATTTCACAAAAAACTTTGTTGTGAGAATCTGTATGCACCACGTGGGAAGAAAACTAATTTTATCAAATTCTTTATGTCTAAAAATTGAAATTTCATTGGTGTTGATGAAATGTTTTTGTTTGTTCAAATTTGGATAAACACTAATTAAGATACACTACATTTAAACCCTGACTGAAGCCTCACAGAAAGTCAAGCACACCAGAACAATATTTAGGAATGCAATTCGTTTCCATGTATACACTGGTCTGAATGGACTGGTCATTTGACCCACCATCTATTCAGTCATTCCCCTTAAAGGGCAAGTGAAGTGAACAAACTGATTGCAATTTTGTTTCGGTTATCAATTTTCCAAGATACATTAAGCCAATTCCAAAAGAAAAAAAAATCCTAACTTTCGCAGAAAGTATTTAAATGTCCAGGTGAATGTACTTCACGCTCAATCATGGGATAATAAAACAAAATTTTGGGATGTGTGGCCAAAAGCTACCAGTGCAGTCGGGCGTGACAAATGTTTTCGTTGGCTGATCCAGCTTCCAGCTTCCAGCTCCTCTCTTCTATATACTAGTTATCTGTCTTGTGATGCTTAGGAAGTGGCCAATCAATAGAAACTCTAAAAAATGTTACTTTTGTTGTTAATCCTACAAAAGGGGGCACGGGTGGCGCAGTCGTCTAAGGCGCCGCGATTCGCTATGCAGAGTTGCGTCCCTTGGGCACGCCAGAAAACTATGATTGCGGGTTTGAATCCCAGTTCGCCCCTATAATGTTTCTAGGTTTGTCAGCACCATACCCATGCTCGTGGGTTTCACCGAAATGGTAAACGTCTGAGACCTGCATCACTTAGGGCTTTCCTCCCACATTAAGCTGACACGCCGCGATATAACTGGAATACTTTTAAAAGCGGCGTTAAACCCAACTCACTCACTCACTAACTAATCCTAAAAAAAAGCACTATGAACTATGAACACTGTGAACACTATGGAGGGTGTGAAATGGCCTTTGCCCTTGACATTGTGAACAATGAAATAACAACTAATCTCTGTTACTAGTTTTTTTATGACAAACATTCTCTTTAGGTACGAAATGTTTCATGCTGCCTTCAGTCCCATTTCACATAATGAATGCCTGTTGGATTAATTCCCAACTAACGATGATTCAGATGACGATATGTTCCACATACATACCATATTGATACAACCATTTATCATGACATGTTGCATCCATCACAATGTACCCTGACATCAAGGGTTATTCCTCTTTCAAATGGCCACAAGTTTGCTTGTCACAGGCCATGCTGCTGTGCTGGTCAATGGAAGATACGAATAGTTTCATTTGCCCAGCCTATTTGCGGTTGTCACGTGGAAACAAGACACTAGTTAAAGTACCAACTGTGTATTGTGACATGCCTGATTGTGTGCCCATGTACCTAGACCCTGCAGTTGGTCATCCCTTAGACTAACATTTAGGTCCTAATACTTATATTACACAATATCCTTCTTGACTCTAAAAATAAAAATAAAATTCCCTATGCTGATTTCAGAATTTGTGGAATAGAGCTAGCTTGAGCTGGCTAGACTTGCTTTTGTATGCATTTCTAGATTATGTTTTTTTCATAAAATAAATATATTCCACGGTCATGGTGCAGGACTAGTCATCCCTCTAACTATCTTGTTTGTTTTGTTTGTTTGTTTGTTTGTTTGTTGTTTAACACCGCACTCAGCAATATTCTAGCTATATGACGGCGGTCTGTAAAATAATCGAGTCTGGACAAGACAATCCAGTGAGATGACATGCATCAACCAAGTCAGCGAGCCTGACCACCCGATCCCGTTAGTCGCCTTTTACGACAAGCATAGTCGCCTTTTTACGGCAAGTATGGGTTGCTGAAGACCTATTCTTTGCCTGGTTTAGACCCAGCTACTCTGTGTCTACTGTGTAGGACACTTTGTATTATCCTTTGTCAGGTGTTGACAGTATGGGTCTGTTCTGGAGTCTCACCCCTGTTCCAGGGGTGTCAGAGAGCCCTCTTCTCAGAAAAGTTGATGTGACGACCCCTCTGGTCTTCAAACTGACCGTCAGAGATCAACACATCCCCTTTGCTGACCTTCAGCTTCCTGCGACAATCCTGCTGGCGACAGGCGAGGTAGAACGCTGGTATAAACATATGACTGTGAGTAGGATCGTCGTGCGGGAAGATTCCCTCAGAGGAGCTCTATTCTTGCCCGCAGGTAAGCCATTGTACTTCTCGCTATGTCAACAAGCCATGATTTGATGATTTTCATAACAGCTGCTGATATATCATCAGAAAGACAGTGAGTGAGTGAGTTGGGTTTAAAGCCGCTTTTAACAGTATTCAAGTTATATCACGGCGTGTCAGCTTAATGTGTGTGGTAAGCCCGAAGTGATGCAGGTCTCAGACGTTTTCCACTTCGGTGAAACCCACGGGCACGGGTATGGTGCTGACAAACCTAGAAACATAATCGGGGCGAACCGGGATTCGAACCCACAATCATAGGTATCTGGCGTGCCCAAGGGACGCAACTCTGCACAGCGAATCGCGACGCCTTAGACGACCGGGCCACCCGTGCCCCCTCAGAAAGACAGAAAATGGACACTCGCATGTAATAAAGATGAAAAAAAAAATGAGTTCATTAGTTGTCTGGTGGACCTTTCATCATGTCTGACACCACTTTATCTGATGATTATAATCTGTATACGAGGTCTGACACAGAAATGGAAAAGAACGAGTACCGAGCAGTCATCGGGTTTTTTATTCGAGAAAAAAGTACTCCCCAAGAAATTTATGACCGCATGTCACAAGTGTATAAGGATAAGTGCCCTAAATATCCCACTGTTAAACGTTGGGCAGCTATGGTAGAACAAGCCTTGATGATGACCCAGGATCTGAGCGTCCCTCAACTTCCATCAATGACGATTTAATCAAGGCGATTGAAAATGCTGTCAGATAGAAGTATTACCATTACTAAACACGAGGAAGACACAGGTCCAAGCCATGGGTCCATTGACATTATTATTCGTAAACATTTACAAATGAATAAGATATCTGCTCATTTGGTTCAAAAGTTTGTCAATTCTGATCTTAAGGAAAAAAGAATTGACATTGTCAGAAAAAATTTAGAGCTAAAAATAATTAAGGAGGATTTTATCAAGTTCTGAAAGAGATTAGTAACGAGTGAAACGTGGGTCTAACATGATCTCGAGTCAATACGTCAATCCATGGAATGGAACCATTCCACTTATCCTGTTCCAAAGAAATTCAAGTCTTCAAGGTCAGTGAAGAAAGTTATGGCCTCTGTATTCTGGGATGCAAAGGGTGTCCTCCTTGGTGATTACTTAGGAAGTGAAACTGGTGCCTATTATGCTGACTTGCTTTATCGCCTGAGTGATTCTATCAAAGAAAAGTGGCAAGGAATGCTGAATGCTGGAGTTCATGACAATGCCTCTTCTCACATCTCTCGACTTGCAAAGGCTGCTGTGCAACAATGTTGGTTAGAAGAGCTGCCTTACCCTCATTACTCATTACCAGGCACCAAGTGATTTCGATCTGTTTCCTAAACTGAAAGACACCTTCGTGGAAGCTGCCGTGAATGGGTTTTTCAGGGTGGCTTCAGAAAACTTCTCCCGGACTCGAATTGAAAAACTATAGATATGAGAAGTGTATTGAAAAGCAGGGAGATTATGTTGAAAAATATAAACTGACGTCCAAAAGAAACTTTACCGACTGAAAATATAACTTTCAGACAAAGTATAAAATTTTTTCGACGAAGTCTATCTTAAACACATAACCTAAATACAACAATAGTGTATGCAGCACATGGTAATCGTCTGTTACATGTTTGCGAGATAACACGCGAAAAAGTGAAAAACACATGCGCCACGGACAACTGCAAATGCACGTGTGGGTAAGGGTATAAAACGATTGCAACGGCAAGTCAGACATCCACAGTGATAAAAACAACAACAAAAGAAATGCCACGACTCACAGTCGAACAACGTGAACGAACCTTTGGTATGGTACAGATGGGAGCCACCCACGCCCATATTGCACGAACCTTCGGTTGCTCCCGTGTTGCCGTTACCAACTTGATGCAACGTTACAGACAGACAGGGCGGACCGCTGACAGGCCAAGAACAGGCAGACCCAGGGTGACCACGCCCCATGATGACCGTACCTTGCACCTCCGAAATCGCTTCCTGACAGTGACGTCATCGGCGACAAATGCCTTAGGTCACAGGGCTAGACGACAGACAGTGGCCAGGAGACTCAGGGCTCATGGAATTAGGGCTTTTAGACCATACAGAGGACAGCTATTGACAGCGCAACATCGTCGTCTTTCAGAGGCAGAGGGTTGTCTTCACTGACGAAAGTCGATTCTGTATGTTTAGGCTGATGAAAGACAACGTGTTTATCGCCTAAGGGGTCAACGAACGGCGGCGTGTTGCGTGCAGGAGGTCGTACCATATGGTGGAGGTTGTGTCATGGTGTGGGGAGGGATCTGTGGGCAGGAGAGGACACCGCTGGTCATCGTTGACGGAAATTTGACAGCTTAGCGTTACATGGATAACATTCTTCGTCCAGTTGTCCTACCATTTCTCCAACAGCAGCCACGTGGTGTCATTTATCAGCATGACAACGCTAGAGCCCATACAGCCAGAATTGTCACTAACTTCCTCGCAGCCAACAACGTCAACGTCCTGCCGTGGCCTGCACGCTCACCCGACATGTCCCCCATAGAACACCTCTGGGACTTAATTGATCGTCGTGTTCGGCAACGACCACACTCTCCAGCCAACCGGCAAGAACTGATCTTGGCCCTCCAAGAAGAATGGCGTCAAATCCCACGTGACCTCATCAGACGACTGACTTTTTCTGTGCGTCGAAGAGTTTTTGCGTGTATTGAGGCATTTCGTGGTCACACACGCTACTAATGACTTGTTATTGAACGTGAGCGTCTGCCTATTGCCAATGATTCTGAAAGCTCGAGTTTTGTACCACACCCAACTTTGGGGGGCTCTGACGTCAATCTCGGTCGCGGTATGATTGTCATTTTCAGTGTTGATTATGTTGATATATTGATCTTCTCAATACACATTACTTCATGCATGTATGTTTTGTTGTTTTTGAGCAAGAGTGATTTCAAACTCTGGTAAAGTTTCTTTTGGACGTCAGTTTATATCAAAATAATTTCACAATGGTTGGGTTTGTTAGACCTACAAGCCCTCGTAGATATAGTCCCTAAGCGTCGTAATTCGTTAATCGTCCACGGAGCTTGGGCTAATGTCTATTTACCATCCCTGAAACAATATACTGGTTCCTTGCAGTGCTTTGGGAGTTTTTTAATGTAACTCATTCCAAGACCAACTAAATTACCAGAAAATCACTATGAACACATCACAGCTTACAGTGTTTTCAAACTGTCACATGGAATGAACATAAATATGGACGGTTGATTTAAAACAACGTGAACAGTAGGAAAATGCTGAGTAGAAATGGAGCTGATCAGATTGACCAACGCCAATAATAAATTCTAAATGAATTTGCACACAAAAGTTCATACTTTAGTCGTATATTTCTCTTACTCTTTTTTTTTATAAAAATGATACAAAGTAACAACTACTTACATCACTTTTGTCACTAACCTCAAATGCTGTAACCTTTATCAAATAACCTTTTGTGTCAGAGACGAATAGTTGCTTTTGAGATATGCTTAGAAAGGGCATACTCCATTGTACCTACACAAATTGTGAAATGTACACATAGAAATGAAACGGACGCGGCAGTTTCACTGGTCGCTTTTACTTCTATTTCAGATGGATAAATCAATAGAAGAGAACTGGTTATTTGACAAATACTAGTACTGAACGATATCCGATCATCAATGTACCAGAAGCTGAAGATAAACTTATTGGCAAAATTATGTTGTTTTGATTTTTGCCAATCCCAGCAGAAATTCCTATTCATATGCATAACGAAACAGGTCAGCCAAGAGGAGAGCAACAGCGGTGCCTTAAGGGATGCCTACTTGTTGCCTAAACGTCCTATCACCCCATTTCACATATGTTTTCAATGAGGAAATCCAGCATTTCACATTTCACAAGATGTAACTTTATGTATGTTCATCACGTCCAATGACAGAGGCCCCATGGATCAAGGGATGCACTTTTTCCTGAAGTGTGACGTGTGGGATAGTGGTGTACAAATTTGAAAAATGAGTCCTCTAATGTTTAATTTTTTTTCTTTCTGACAATTAACAAATTCAAGCAAATTCTTCGAGTTTTTGAAAATCCACATTGTAGTATTCTAATTGTTCTATCCCTCATTGTATTATGAAGTATTGTTATTTTTATACAATGATTTAGAAGTACTTTTGCTGGACCAGACACTGCAAATATTTATCTTCTTTGATTGTTCAAAGGTGAAGGGCCTTTTCCTGGAGTGATAGACATGTTTGGTGGTGGAGGAATGGTTGAGTTTCGTGCTGCATTGTTGGCTTCTAAGGGTTTTGCTGTCTTTGCTCTTGCCTACTTTGGATACGATGATCTTCCAAACTCAGTGTCTGACCTTGACGTTGATTACTTTCTTGTAAGTTTGTATATCTTGAAATTGATTTGCATTATTGCAATTTTACTAATGCTGTAGTGATGTACATATCAGTATGTGTCACTTAAGAAGTACAATCAGTATATGACATACTTACACTGTATGAATCTAAATGAAACAACCATGATAAATTTTCACCAGAATGCTGTTGACTGGATGGCATCCCATCCGTGTGTACGGACTGGAGGTATCGGTGTGGTAGGTGTCTCTAAGGGAGGTCAACTAGCCTTCTTGCTTGGCATGGCCACTGATAAGGTAAGCATGGTTTATCAGTCAGTAAATCACTGAGGTGTTGTATACAGATGCGCGTTTTTTGAAAGCGGACAAACCGTTGCTTTTATACCAAATAATGTAATCTCGAACGTCGTCAACAGGTGAAGGCCGTGGTGAACATCAACGGCCTACCGTTTATTCTACATGGAGATATAACGAAATCCGGACAGGTTTATTGGAAAGCCATGAAGTAAGTCTTTTTCTTAACCTTGCAAAATTATTTCTGGTGCCTCATTGTTGCCTCACGAAAGACCACTTTTACATTCTCTCACACTTGTGTTATCAACCATAATTGATCCATACGTATAATAGATGGCCATTGTCTCACAATAAACATATGTCCTTTTCATGTGCCTCTGGGAGATTGCACAACAACAACAGCAGCTTAATTTTATTATCAAGGACTATAAGAACAAAACAAACTAACCGTAACTCATTTTCTGTTGGATGGTGGAATAGTCTACTGGTTAAAGTGTTCTTCTGTCACGCTGATGGCTGGTGCCGTGTCATACACGGTGATACTGCTGGAATATTACTAAAAGCGGACTGAAAAGCATAGTCACTTGGTCATTGCATTTTGATGCACCACATACCTACATTTTTGTTTTTAACTCATTGGACACCTGATGATAATGTTCGATGTATGTTGTTTTTCGCTTCACATACCATTGGATAAATTCAATTTGGACTTTTTTTCAGGTTAGACGCCAGGAAATTCAAATATACTGATGAAGGTGTTCATCTTAAAGATGCATTGGTCTGTGACACGGAAATAATTCCTGTTAGTAGGTTTGGATGTCTTTCCGTGTGTTTTGAAAGTATTCTCTTCCGACTGCTTTTAAACGTTGTTTCTGTAAGTACTTGTACACTCTAATGATTAACTGAGTTGAGTAGAGGCATTCCTAAAATATTTCGTTATCTATGATAGTGTATGGTAACACTAACATATTCATCGAATTGGATCAATTCCTCTTTAAGATAGTGTTTCCGAAATAAATTCAAATCTCTGAACATCAAAGGCCTGTCATGTTGAAATCTCAGACACATGAACCGGTATTAAACAGAATAAAAACATAAGCTCAGTAATCTGTAACCCAAATTGAATATGCAATCGGGTCGAAATGTGGATGGAACAAATGGCAGAAGCGAGTGAGGTCGGGGATATGCAGCTATTGACTGCTTAAAACAATTTCTTATTATATTCATTATAGCAATATATACCCGCAGGCATGGACGAATAATGCCAAAATATTGTACTTGTGTGGTGACGATGATGAAACATGTACGACTGACTATGCAAGAACATTCATGAAGACTTGTCCTGAAGAGAAAGAGAAGAATATTGAGCTTGTCGTCTATCCAGGAGCAGGTCACCTTATTGAGCCACCATATATGCCTGTGTGTAGAGCGATGTACTTAAAAGTAGCAGGTGAGTAGTTCCATTATGCGAATTCACACATTGTCACAGACGCACAAGTCTTTCAATGAATTCAGTCAAAATCCAAAATTATAGATCTGGTCTTCAGCAACTCTTGTCGTAAAAGATGACTATGCTTGTCGTAAGAGGCGACTAACGGGATCGGTGGTCAGACTCACTGACTTGGTTGATGCATGCCATCGTATTCCAGTTGCGTAGATCACTGGGTTGTCTGGTCCAGACACGATTATTTATTCTGTTCCAAAAATAATATCATTAGGAGAACATCCTTGAGTAAACATAGGAGAACGCCTGGAGAATTCATTTATATACACTTAACTGTTCCCTCCAATACTAACTTCTCAGCATAGACTTCATATTTGAGGGCATCCTGAGGATCACGCTGCAGCACACGAGGATACCTGGAGAAGACTTTCCCACATCCCCCACAAACGCATTGGATGTATGTAAACGTCGCACATCTATAAATGGCCAGTTGGGAGACAAACCTACATGTGCACGTACTTTTCAATGTTGCCATGTTCTTGATTTCATATCTCTGATAATCCATTTGGAATGTCGAAATAGAGTACAATATATAATTTAAGAAATGAACAATACCTTTAGAAATATGAATGAAAATTATACTTTGTTCATTTCAACAAATGCATGTTTTCGACACGTAATGCTTATGCAAGGCTCAATATGTCGGAATATGTGGCTTTAGAGGTTTTCAGGATTCTAAAATATATATTTGAGCATAAAGAAATGTTAGACCCAAGTAGATTTGGACCAGAAACATGAAAAAACGGTTATTTGCGTGCCATACCTATGACCTATGGCAGTTCAACTGTCATCATTCATTTTCTTCTTAGGGGAGATAAAGCGACTGGCGGTTCTCCTGATGTTAGTTAGGCGGGACCTCATTCATAGAGCCGTTCATTCAACTTGTTGATTCAACACTAATCTTCAACCTGTTGCTATCTGCCTTACATTGCACACTGCAACTACTATTTGCTCTCTGTATATCCCACCTTCAGCTGCTCTTCGGTAGTCAGATCGTCAGAATCTGACGAATGAGCTCACTGAGCCCTGCATCATCATGGGCTATTAAAATGGGCATAATATGGAAGGGCGAGTACCAACGATAAGGGGATTTTTTTTCTGATAATACTTTATGTACACTTAAAGACGATTCTAGCACCCATTTACATCCTGAAACTTATTGTGCCCTTTATCGGTCCCTCACAAATTCGGGTATTTACAATAAATTTGAATGGTTTGTGCATGGCGACCTTTGTGGAAGTGATTGTGATTTGAGCGGTCGTTACTTCATTTTATATCACAGTTTTTAACAGACAGGCTATTTCAAGACTAAATGTTTCAACCCTGTCTGATTATTATAATCAGGATCAGAGTGTACCACAAGACACTATTTTGTCTGTCACATTATTAAGTATTTAAATAGATGGATCACTTTTCATGAGTGATTTAAATATTTCTTGTTGTGATAAACAAATATGCATCCTTTAGAGAGGCAGTCACAAATCTGTCTCATTAAAATTCACACGTGCTCCCTTCAATATGGCTTAAAGTTTCTAAACCAAAAACTAATTGTATACATTTTCTGCAGAAACATGACTCGCATGGCACCCACTATCAAAGTTGTATAGGATGCCGTTTTCTTGTTTGATAACCATTCAAAGTTCTTATTGCACATTAAATACATTAAAGCTAAATGTCTGAAGACCTTCGATTTGTGGTCAATTTATCTAATTCAAAGTGGGGAGGGGATCAGGAAACCCTCTTACACTTATACAGATCACTGTTCCGTTCAAAATTTGATTACTTCATCGTCTATTTAAAGGTAATTTACGGAAACTAGATACTATCCATCATCAAGGCCTGAGGCTTTCCTTGGGGCCTTTCAACCTCCTCCTTCTTATAGTCGGTACGCGGGCCGGAGCCTTCCTTAAAACAAAGCTGTCTGAATTTATCTTTACAATATATCACCAAATGATATTCTTATCAGTCACATTCAGCTTTTAATTGCGTATTAAATCCTGTTTATGAAGATATTCACAATACGAAATCATCTCTTATTTCACCACTTTGAATAAGGATCCAATCTGCCATTTTTGCTGCTCATATTAAACTTCAGGATATAGCTCCCATCCAACTTTTGTCATCACCCCATGGGCAAATGGTTAGGCCAGATGAAGACCTGACATTAACAATACTTAAGAAATTCGACACAAATCCACTTATTATGAACAAGAATACAATTATTAAGAAACGCCCGTGACACTTATAAATACGGTAAATCATGGTCTGCTTGACTGTGCTGATATTTCCATAGCAGGTGATCAATCAAATAATCAAATAATCATCTGTCAAGGATCGTTTTACTGGTATTAATTCTCGTTTAATTATTGTTTGTTTAAAGGAGACAGAATTGTTTGAAAAGATTTTGATTAATATGTTTTGAGAAAAAAAGGCGGAGATTATTAATGGCTTGTCAACTTAGTGTCCCCCTGAGAGGGTATATATGTTCCACACCTTTGAAAGTAAATTTGAAACTATCACATTTTTAATCGTGGTGTATTTGTTAGTTTTAACTGGCTACTAGTATGGTATGTCTCCACGGTCCCTAGTATGTCGGCCTCACTTTGGTTGCAGGCGATCTCTTGCCCGTTTTTATTTTGTGTTGTTGAATTACAGTTAATTCATTTACATGCTTTTAAACTTAGTTTGAATAAAATCTAAGATATCCTAGTTATTGTACTGTCCTTCGGCGATATACAGTATACCTATACTCACCACCAAAAGAAACGCGAACCAAAGTAACATATAGAAAAGAATGTGCGTTAAGAAGAGATGTTTCCAAAGTGTAGCAACTAATGAAAAAACTAACAATCAGTGAAGTCTTACCACAGAGTGTCATTCTAATCACGATACGTGATTTCAGAACTTTACACGATAATCCTGCAAGAGACAAATGGTGCTTCTCGAGTCATTGATCTATGACGTCACATGTTATGCGTTCATGAGCGTCGGTTCACACGACATACCAGTATGTTCATTTGTGCATCAAATCAATCATTATTAGCCAACATGTATAGTATTAGACTATCTTTTGGCGGTTAGAATATTTTGTGGTGACTTTATCTCGTCAAGATGTTGCTGAAATATTGCCGATGTGACGTTAAATTTTAATTCACCCACTCACTCACACTCACATAGTGATGATACCCCGTGCTCGCGAAATAGTGACCGTCTCCTGCCCCACCCATGGCACCCATCACAAACACACACAAAGGCAATTCAAACAAAACAAAACCTTGAAATTGAAACACGGCATCATTTGGTGTGCCTAACCTAAAACTGCACTTTGAGTTTACAATTTTTAAATTAGCCTAATGACATATCACTGGAATTTACACACTTTATTCCTCACTTTCCTATTTTGCTCGGACTGTTTTCCCCAACGGTCATGACATTGATCGTGGGAGGGCAAACTGAAGCTCATGCTACAGCCCTGGATGATGCCTGGATAAGACTTCTCCACTTCCTCAACAAACATTTTTCACAGGAGCAACACCCACTCAGTCAATTAAAACGGCACAACATGGTACTGTTCCCTGCAGTAGTGTCCCCGGCGTAATGCTCATGCGGAGGACTTCCTGAAGATCATGCTGCAACACAGGAGGACGCCCGGTGAACACATTTACATTTCCTCCATTGGCACCTGTGTACAACTCAAACATCTACGAATGGCACAGCAAAAAAAATGCAGTTTCCGGTATCCGGATACCTGCCGGATACCACCGGACACTTACCCAAAACGCGTCCGGGTATCCGGTGGCAGATACCTTGCCGGATACCAGATCTGTGGTATCCGGCATGGACACCTCACCGGAAAGTATGTCACCTGGAATCCGGGTATCCGGCACCGGATACCTCACCGGATACCTCAATCTGGGTGTCCAGGGATCCGGCACCGGATACCTCATTCTGAGTTTCCAAAAACATGTCACAATTTGGGGGGTGCATTTTGTTCAATTAAGTGTGAAACACCTAAAAATATATTGGAAACTAACCATGAAAATTGAACATTGCTGAAGGTATCCGGCAGGTATCCGGCAGGTATCTGGATGCAATTTTTCGAGATGTCTTTCTCCTAGTAAATAATGTTAGCCTGGGCATAGCAGATAGCTGTAGTAATATTCTGTGCTATTTTAGTTGTAAATATCCCCTTGAAGTTGAGATCTATGGGCATGTACTTTTGGTGAAAACATTTTTCAAGTTCATACATATTTCAATTTAGATGTTCAGCGTATTAAATGAAAAGCATTCAGTCCTGGTATGATGGTATCCTTACATATCATCTTCATATTCCCAGTGAGTTTTAGCCTAGTGGTTGAAGCATTCGATTCACCACATCAGGACATTGCTTGGTGTCACCCATCATAATATTGTTTGAATTTTGCTCATAAAGTGGCATAACACCATACTCACTCTGACAAAAAAATGAAAGTCATTGGCTATGTGCTCACTTGGGCCTTTGTTCCTGGTGAGATTAAAAGTTTATTTTGGAACTGTATCAATACTTGTTACATCTTGACAGACGAGTTTCATTGAAGTTCGAAACAGAATATCATTAACCCAAATGGGTGCATAAGACTAATAGCATCCACAGAAAACACCTAATAAAGTACTGGTACATAAAAATATCAATGTAACTTTTCTACTGACATGGAACTAAAAACTTCGTTCAGTGAGCTGTATTAATTGTAGGAAAACATTCAGGGCATTAGTATATTTGATATATGTTAGCACCTATGTTATGAATGATCAATATCATATTTCTTTAAAGAAGCAAAACAAAAAAATTGTTAAGATAAAAATCATATTTATTGATTTTATGACATTTCATTGGTTCAGTAACCAGAGGTGTTTGCAAGAACATTCAAAAACAGAAACAGATGCTTCAATGCCATTTTCTAAATAAACAAATTAGTCAAATCTCAGAAGAATTTCAAGGTAGAAGAATATCTAAAGTCAATTATGTTTGTGCAGTAAACCACAAAAGTCATTCAGATTTGTATAGTCAGCGTCAGTGTACACCACATAAACAGTCTCACTGCTGTGGTATTGATTCCTTTAGACTTGATTAATGTCGTAATAAAACAACCTACAGAATCACACTGATGTGGCATTATTCATTCAGAATCATCACTTTCTGAGGTGAACCTGTTAGTTGTTCTGGGGAGGATTATTCATCATCCGGAGAGTCCTTTGTATGACTTGTCTGATCTGGTGTCATTGTGAAATCCAGGTGCCTGAAACAATTTATAACATCTTTAAAAGCTTGTTATTAAAAATATAAGAAACACACATATATTGACGAAGGGTAAAAATTTGGTTTCTCAATGAGTAAGGTAATGACAATTTATCAAGCAACTGTTAACCAAACCATGTTAACCAATGTAAAAAAGCCATAGCAAACAGTAAATTGTACAGAAAATACAAAATTGTAATTGATCTTCTGAAAACAATTCCTGTAGTGCCATAAGGCAGGCTCACCTGAATTTTTCTCAAATGTTTGCATTACATCAAAACATAAGGAAAGGTAAACAAGGCAATGCAAATTGCATAAAATAGGTTCTTATACATAAAAACAGAACTAAAGTATTTGACGTAATAAGCGTCTCGCTCTAATAAGCGCCCATGGGAATATTTGCTAATATATTGGCTAGTGAACAATCCCAATTAGGACCCTTTCCAATTAATCAATGTATACAAGACTTATTTATTTGCGTATAATACACACTTGTGTGTGATATGCATTATCATATTTTTATCATTTATCCTATCTTTAATTCAGATTAACAATAACGGCAAAAACTGCCAAATATATTGGTCAAGTGTAATCATAATTTAAGTAGTTCTATTTGGTTTTGGAACTTTTCAAGGGTAATTGTAAATCATTTGATTGTTATAAAGTTACACAGTATTGCATCTATCGTCTGTTTCTAAATACAGTGGAACCTATCTTTGACTTGTGTGACAT